ATCAGTGTTTTTTGCTAAACATTAACCATTTTAAATTTTCAAAGTGACATTTAACATATGGCTGCCTGTTTGCTTGGGCTAGTTAAATACTTTTTTTTATTGTTCGTAGATCATTGATTTGCTTAATTACTGGTATTCAGATTTGTGGTGTGGACCGTATCTAAAACTAACTTGGCAAGCCGAGTAAGTGAATATTAGGATTGAAAACCTAATTTAAATGGTCTCAACGTAGGAAGAAAATGTCTAGGTTGCATCAAATTATATATTTTTAAAAAAGGTTAAAACAAAAAACAATCAAACTAAGATAACTTTTTGAAAATGTGCTTTAACAGCTATTGTATGTAAAGTACAGTACGATTGAATAGCTGTGTTGGAAATTTTATTATTGCTAAGTTACATTTCGTTAGTTCTACAGTCCGTTCTCTTTGACTGATTCTCTTTTCCCCACTCCTGCAATACTGCATGCCCCTCTCCCAAAATAACCAATACCCCTTTTCCAGTATACATCACCTCTAGACTTTATATCTAGTTCTCAGTTGGCCTTTGTAGCTCACCTCCCCAAGCTCCAACTTGTCTAGACCTCTGCATCCCATATCCTTTCCTGTACAGGTGGGAACCTGTGGGTCAGAAGATTGTGGATTAATTGCCTACATTAGGATTTTGTATTCACATTCTAGGTTGCGCTACATTGTTGGAGGTGCCAACTTTCGAATTAGATGTTAAACCGAAGCTCTGTCTGTCTTATCTGTTCAGGTGGATATTAAAGATCTCATGGTACTATTCATAAAGAGAATGGAGTTTCTCTCGGTGTCCTGGCCAACAATCCCCCAAATAAAAAATTGTCATTCACTTTCATGGCTGTTTGTGGGACATTGAGGTGCACAAACTGGCTGCCACATTCACCTACAAATGCACTCACTACACTACACAGTAAAAATCCTGTGATGCACTTTGTGAAGTCTCCTGCAGAATAATGCTTCCTCTTGCATTGTATAGTTGACAACAAATCAGATGTCTGTTGCTGTGTTTTTGGGAGGAGTGCAGACTGAGGTGGGAAGTATTCAAATGCCTTTGGACTTTTTAAGATGTCTTCTTGTCTTCTGCTATGTTCAATATCTGTTCTTAATTGCTGAGATTATTCTAAACTAGTCTGCAATTGTTTACCGTCAGATCCTCTCCAGTGGATTGAGAAAAGTCCCCTCAAGCAGTTTTGGTGCTTGAGTCATGAGCTTTGATTGCAAAGTTCTTCAAACCAGTTCTTTGAATATAAAGAACTGCTAATATCCTACATGTTCATTCCTGAAGATACTGAGTAGAAGCCTTTCAAAATATGTGGTTGACTGCATTTCACAGAGAGATTTTGTTTAACTTTTTTTTACTTGCGATTAAAAATTGTGGAACATTTTGTAGTTCAATGTACCCTTTACGTTCCAAGGCCTATTTGAGCTGGCTTCAAGGAAAGTTGGCATAAGGCTTTACATTGTGAGGAATTAGTGTTAACTGATCAACAGTTTGCTATCACAATAAGAATTAATAAATCACTCACGGCCATCATTTTTGTGAGTACCCTGAATGTTGAGGAAATACGGTAGCTTCTGCTGGAATGTAGAAAATTATTTTGTGCATGGCGAATACGATTCCCCTTATTCTTACCTCGAAATGAAGACTGTATTTAAATGTGTTGTACATGTAACCTCATGTTAGTCTAGTTTCATGCCATATCACAAATGGCTCTGAGCAAAGAGAGATTAACCGTATGCAGACCTGATATTAAATTATATTGTATTTGACTGCTCCCTTTCAGGCTTTCCCTACAGCTCTGATATTCTTGGGAATAAAAACTAGCAGATGCTCCTTCCCCAGGGTATTTCTTCATCTGGATTTTGAGAATTTACCAAAAGAAAGGGTAAATTCTGTGTAAATGCTTGTTAGGCAGTTGGAAAGAGCAGAGCTAAACTGCATGATTGTACATCCGATTTCCTTCATTGGCAATGTTTGTCCTTTGAGGAAATTACATATTTGATCCAGCAGCTCGCCAGACGCTAGTATGCGAGAATGCTAAGCACGGTATCCAACTTCACAATAAAGTTGGAATGCTGTGGAAAAAGTGAGTGCTACTCCTTTGACCTTGTGCTGAACAATGTGAGACCGCCCAGGTCAGATTTAGCAGAGATTGTGCTTTAGTCACACTGTTGGAAAGTACAGAGGATGTTTACCCTGTATTTAGCCTGGAAATCTTTGGCACTGACAAAATGTGGATGAATGTTTTTCTGCCTTGAGCGCAAAGGAATTATCTGAAAAAAAAATATTGTGGCTATTGTGGTAGAGTATAATTGAAAAAAAACATGGTTTGTCCAAGGTTCCTGTTAATCAGAGCCAGAAGTAAAACTCCATATGAGACCTTATATTAATCGTTGTATTTGATATACCGTTTTCACGTCTTATGTACATCTCAAAGCGCTTCACAGAATATACTGTAAAGTAAATTGACTGTATATTTGTGGGCGAAATGTGGCAGCCTATTGTTCACAGCGGTGTCCCACAAACAGCCATGGATTGAAATGACCAATTTTTTTTTGAGGGATTATTATTGGGCGTGTGGAGTAAGGAAACTTGCCCAAAGTTTCGCCCTGCTGGGAATTGAACCCAAGTGTCTCACTTGCAAAGTGAGTACTCTAACCACTGAGCTACAAGACTCCATGATAAGTGAGAGCTGGAATTTGCAGGGGTGACATCTCTGTCCTCTGCATACATAGTATAATACATTTTGCATTTGTTGTGATGCCTATAATGTCAAAATGTCTAAATGTTTCACAGGGAATTGTTATCAAGTATAGCAGGTGCATATTTTCAATATTTGGAACACAGTCATTTTGTACTCGGGAAGGTGCCATAAATTGTCAACGCGAATGACTAACTAAATACCTTAATATTAGAAAGATAATAATCTCAATCTTGATGTGGCCAGTGAAGAGAGAGAACATTCGAGATCTGAAGAAGTTAAGTTGGGTTGTGGAGGTTGAATAGGTTTAATAATATGCATGGAACATGTACAGCTGGATGGCTGTTCAGTGGCAAAAGTGGAAAATGGAATGACTGACGTTATTAACCATGGAAAGTGTCCAGATGACAGACAAGGATGCAATGAGCCAGACTGATTCGATCCTGGAATGCATCTCTTGGGAATGAGGTGGTTATCTTAAGTAAGGAAAGAATGACACTAACCAAATCATCACTGTCCTGCCCCATTGATAAGGTGTTCTAGAAACCTAAAGCAACTGTGCTTTGTATACTCCTTGCATGTAGCTGATTTTGTTGGGGGTCAATTTGAAGGACACATGAGTAAGGCTAATCAGATTCTATATTTAGAATTACCATCTCAACTCAGCTTTATATTAGATTGGTGATTCAACCACTTGCATTTATCAAACTACATTTGTTTTTCTTTTTCAAAATGTGCAGGAAATGCAATAATATGCTGCGTGACATTTTTGTAATCTGTCAGATTGAATTTTTTTACTATTTAGTTTCTTTAACGACCTGCATTTCTAAACCACAAAAATGCAGATTGTAGTTTAGACTGTGTTCATAATCACTGTTGAGTTGGGCGCATTATTTCCTTTTTACGTTACAAGTTTGTGTGAGCTCTACTGATGTCTGTCCCCCCCCTACAATAAAACTAACCGTACAAAATTGGTGACCTGCAGCAAACATCATTTTAATATTTGTTCCCCTCTCAGTACAGTCGTGCTACTCAAAAGTAACTTTGATTCTGTAGATGGCATTTACCTAAATCTAAGCAAACATTGGGTCTGGTGATGGAGCCACCGAGATCCATTGGCTCTTATTTACATTGTGTAAAATTAACTGCTCCATTATGATTTGAACATTATCTTAACCAAATAAGTGTTTGTTTTGCTTCCATTATGAGTCATTGCTCAACGCTAAACTTGAATAAAACAACTGGGAGATCTTGTACACAAAACTACGTTCCATGGATGAAATGCTAGTCAGTGCAGGGATTTATACAAGTGTGTAATTTTAGGTTAATTATTAAAGAATTTCAAATTACTGTTCCTAGTGGATTGAACTTGTAGTTCCCAGTTACGAGACACATAAACTAGTTTCCAGTTAAACTTAGCAATGAAACTGTTGCTTTAATTATGACATGGCATCTACTTGTAATTACTGTATTATCCCCAAGAGAAAACTGCTTTTGTGTGACATTAATTTTAAATTTTGATGTTTTTCCCATTTGTTGCAAACATGACTTTTTCTTGGTTTGAATACTAATGAACCCGTAGTGTTTAGGTGTCCTTAAGCATAATTCTTCATCTGCCTTCAATTTGCTGAGCCAATGTCAAATGGGAAACAAAGCTAATTCCAGCATCACCAGTACGAATGACTGAAAATTGTTGTCCTTGCCAGTTTGGTGAGGGTTGTACATTGCAATGAGTGGCCATGCCACATAAGTTGTCTGAGTTTCTTATCACCAGAGAAAAGAATGGGGAGGTTTTTAGAATATTTTATACTTAAGGAAAGTCTCATCATAAACTGGTATTGAAGTTTTGTTTACAATGCTATTTAAAAAGCAGATGCACAGCTAAATGATGCTTAGTTTTTTTAAAGCAATAGTAGAATTGGGCGGAAGGAAAAGGCATGATATGGGCCAGATCCGGTGGAAAGATTAAACTGCTTGGTCTGAGATCTATTCACAGATCTGGTCTGTGTAAAGGATCAACCCTTTACATCATTGAGTGAAATGAAATTTTAAAATGTATTACACAACTACTGAACACTTTATTCAATTTCAAATGCTTTTGGAAGAATTTATTTAGTAGTCGTAAAACTTTTCTTTTTGATATTTTTGTACCAATGTTGTACTGCTTGAAAACTTTACTATCTAAACATTATTTTGTTGATCTACTCTGAGCATATACAATTATACTAATGGTAACTATAATTAAACATCGTAGTTTAATGTGACTTTTGTTTTGTAGCTCGTCTTATGACACAAAAACAGGTGTTCGAGTAGCAGTGAAAAAGCTGTCCAGGCCATTTCAGTCCATTATTCATGCAAAACGAACATACAGAGAGCTACGATTGTTGAAGCATATGAAACATGAAAATGTAAGTTCCATATTGAGTGTAAGAATTGGACTGAATTCTTGCTTCCAAAATGCTTTTCTATTGGTGTTTTTAAGTAGCAGCAATTATGTACAATGAATGTACTTTAACTCTACCAATTTTCATAGGTCATTGGCCTGTTGGATGTCTTCACACCAGCAACAACTTTGGAAGAGTTTACAGATGTGTGAGTATTCCGTTTTGTGAGTGCAGATTCATTGTAGTTAGAGCCATACTGTGCACAAATTTTATTCATCGACACGTTGTTTACTCTGCTTGTTTGTGTGTGTGTGTAAACATCAAACCAATGTCAAATAGCACTGTGTGCATTTAACAGCTCATCACTCAGGATTGATGATGCATAGAAAGGGGACACTTCAATGGCGATCTGAACCCTACAATATTGTTGAATCTGTCAGTAGATGAGGAATATTAGAAATGGGTTAAAATCACTCTAGAATATTTGTTTTCAGAAACTAGTCCAGTTCAATTTACTTACTGTATAGTAAATGTCATGCTAGATTTATCTGACAGTCTTATCTTGCTAATGATAGCTTTACTGTTCCTGGCATTGTTAAATTAACAGGTTGTGCTCTTGCCACTGCTGGCTGAGATGGGTATGCAACCTGCTTTTTAGATGCTCTGGATATCAGAGAAGCTCTTCAGCGAGATAACAGTCCTGGGCACAGTCCATATTGCTGCTGGTGCCTTGGATTCCGTTCCAAAGTATCAGCTGGGTGAAATACAAGTTTCTTGTAAACCATATTCCGGATAAATCAATTCTGACTTGTCCAGAAATTTACCTGTCTAAACACCCCCTCCCAGGATGGATTCATTTAAATTTGACATCTTTGAAATACTGTATATCACTTCCAAATGTAGTTCTGAATACATTCAAACTTTTGAATTATGGAGACTGGTGGTTACACGGAGTCCTGTAGCTTAGCGGTTAGAGGACTTGCCTCACAAGCGAGAGGCCCGGGGTTCGATTCCCGGCAAGGCAAAATATTGGGCAAGTTTCCTTACTCCACACACCACCTCTGTTTACCATTGCAGTAAGTAGGTACACAGTCGATTGGCAGATCGCTTTTCCGGGGGTAATAATTCCTTTAACAAAAATAAATAAATTGGTCACTTCAATCCACGACTTTTTGTGGGGCACTGCTGTGCGCAATTAGTGCCCGCGTTTCGCCCACAAAATATATCTGCCTCAAAAATATAAGTGCCTCAACAGGACTGTAATCTCTTGATATCTTGTTGTATCATTGTGACTAAATTAAGTTCGGATGTGCTACTTCTTGCAAGATTTTATTTCAAAGGAAGTGGTTTATGGTTTTTATTTGAGCAACAACTTGGGATTTCAAATGGATATGCTTGATTAGTGGTATGGTACATTTTGGTGTCCAAGGTAAATTGTATTTTGTGTGATTAATATACAGGTAAGTGGTGAGCAACATAAATACTGTACTTTTAGGTTTTGAGTACTACAATGTGAATTTCAGCCATAAAAAGTATGAATTGTTCAGTTAAAAACATCACTGTTAGAACCGATCACTTATAACTGTTGTTTTCTTCAACTTGGAAAGTAATGAATTTGGCTCACCTTTCCTTATTGCAATGTGACCCACATGGAGGGTTTAAAAACTGTTCAGTCATAAATTTGCAGAGTTCCATGACCCAAGTAGTTTTCACTTCTGCTGTCTGGAAATGTAACCAGATCAGTATATTTGCCACCTTGTGCAATCTAAAATGTCAGTGGCTCAGTTGATAACATTCTTGCCTCTGAGCGAGAAGATTGTGGGTTCAATCTAGGTCAGTGGTTCTCAAAAAATTGTTTTTTGGGGCCTCATTGTGTGGTTGAGGTGCCAATTCTTCCTAAAAATATTTAGTTAGTATACAAAAAATAAAGGTAACATAGGCATACACACATCTCAAATTGTTCTCATTTGTTCAAATTGTTCTATGCATTTCATACATACACTTTTTTGTGGATTTGTGTACATTTAACAACTTTTTTTGCACAAAATCTTGCACAGATAGTAACAAGATTAGAACAGCCCAATAAATGAAAACACATTTTTCGATCTGTACATTTTCTGTACAAACCACATCTGAGAATTTTTTTAAAAAAAAAACGGAAACCTTGAACAGACCATAACAAGATCAGCACAAATGGGGAGAGAGGGGGTGAGGCGAAGGGATTGATGGAGAGAGAGTTCCACAACTTCGGGGCGTCGTGGCTGAAAGCACGGCCGACTGTGGTGGGATGGAGGGTGCGGGGGACAAGGAGGAGGCCAGAGCCAGTCGAGTGGAGGCAGCGGGAAGTGGTGTGAGGGTAGAGAGCAGGTTGGAGAGATGGGAGGGGGGGGGGGGGTCGTGGTGCCAGGGCGTGAAGGGATTTAAATGCAAATGTGAGCCAATGAAGTTTGACAAGGACTGGGGAAATGGACGTATGGAGTTTAGTGCATGTGACAATGCGGGCGGTTGGAGCTGTGAATTAGTTGAATATTGTGAATAATGGAGCAGGAGAGACCAGCGAAGAAGGTATTTTGAGTAGTCGAGACGGGAAGTGCTTTGTGAGCATACAAACATAAGATTAGAGCAATGATGTATAGGAAGACAACACTTCCTTAGACGTCACATTTGTGTGGTTTGCACTCATTGCAGATACAGTAAAGCTTCATCTTGATCTTGATTTAAACCTTTCCTTCCATTGCTTTGAGCATTTGATGAGTGCCCTCTGTTGGTCAGGATTGCTTTATTTTTCTATTTTCAGTCATTCTAAATTCTAATCTCCCAGCTTTCAAAAGCCAGGTGTGATTGATTAAAATCTGGGATGATGGAAAATAGTTTAGATTTCTTCTAACCACAGTAGTTTTTAAGACCAGAATAGTGAGTGATCTGTCATTCTCTGGTCTCAGTCTATTTTAACGTTTACCTTGTAGTTTGGTGACTGTATTAATAATTAAGAGTGTAGTCCTCCCCACAAAGTTTGCAACAAAAAATGTCTAATTTTTGTTTTGAGTAAAAGAAAAACTTTTTAAAGAGATCTAATTCTACAGTTGTCCCACACATAACTGAATGGAAATTTCATTACTTGGATTAATGTAGAGATTTTAATATGCAAAGACGGTTTGGTTTCAGGGTTAGAAGTAGCTTTTGGGAAGAGGAGAAAAAGTGTCCTTCCTCGTGTGAAGGGGAGGTCAGTGGTACATTGTGAGCTCACTTTAGCACAAGAATATTGGAATTATTACTTTCTTAGCAATGTTGTCAAAGTTGCCTTTGTTTAAACTCCACCCCCCCAGTGCATACACAGAATCTACCGAAACAGGCCATTACAATTTAATCACGGCTCCTGGCACTGAGTTAGCTCCACATTCTCTCCACTCTCTGTATAAACGAAGTTCCTGCCAAACTTAAAACCCTCCTATTCTATGACCTACTTTGAAAGATCTCCAGTGGTTTGATGGTGAAAGATTTAATGAGAAGTTTTGGATAAAGAAAGCCATTTGGCCCGTTTGATTTTAAAGCTACACGTTGCACTGTGGGAATATTTGTGTTTTGGAAAGGTTACTGAATTTCCTGGTTGCTCAGGTCTTGAAGATCGGTATTTGATCTCGATCCAGTTTTATGTAATGAGGGATGTTTGGTATTCTAGTCAGACTTGATGTCCAGTATTTGTGCAATTCACAAATAGCATTCAATTTTGCAACTTTGAGGCTTAAGTTCACTAACCATAGTTGGTATTTTTTTCGATTTTAAAGAGGGCATAGTAATTTGATTTCATGATGATTCAGCAAAAACTTTATACAAAGTTTAGAATTTATTTTATAGCAGATGGTGCAATCAAAAATTGTTAGCCTTTTGTTTACTGGCATTAGCTGTGATCACTATAGTGCCAGATTTGGCCAGTATTTTTATAGCTTTCTTGATATCCCACACCTTTATTAAGAATTAGGTACAAAAGTGCTTATTCAAGAGAACATTGTGCACATGCTGGATTTATTCGAAGCTTCAGCAGTGGAATTCTGTTTGAGGTGCTCAAAACGTAGCTTTTTGGCTGAACTCTGGAACTCTACCCTGCGTGAGGGGAGCTATATAAATACAAATTGTTGTTGAACTATTTGTCCCTGTATTTGTGTGTGAAAGATTCAGGGGAAATGTTTATTAGTGTTAACTTGCGCTGAGTAAGATTTGAGAGAACAGCCTTATGGTTGCAGCTTATTTGAGTTTATTTTCCTTCCAGGTACTTGGTGACTCATCTAATGGGAGCAGACCTGAACAATATAGTAAAGTGTCAGAAGCTGACGGATGACCATGTACAGTTTCTCATCTACCAGATTCTCCGGGGCCTTAAGGTAACATTGTATTTACAATGCTGAATTATTTAATTTGTATGTTTTAATAATAATAATTTTTGCATTTGATATACTGCCTTTTCACGTCTCAAAGCCCTTCACAGAATATACTGTAAAGTGTAGTGACTGTGTATTTTATGGGTGAAATGCGGGAGCCAATTTACTTTAATATGTCATGGTTTACATTCATATAAAACTAATGCTTATTGTGAAGTGTGAGTGATTTGACCAAGTGTCCTACAAATGTTCTGGGTACCCATTAAAAGGTTTCTGTGGCTGATTTTAAAGTTAGCTTGAGGATAAGATGTCTTGTAATTTCTGTGTTTTTAAACACAACCGTAACTGAGGACTATGTTTTATATTTAGAGTGCATCATCTTGATTGTTCTGATGCAATAAATGGTAGCTGCTTAATTTCAGTACATGTTTGGTATCTAGCACAATAACGTTGATCACGTCAAACAAATACCAACTTGCTCAGATTAGTTTCCAACCAATGCAATTGCATGCAAAGCTTAAAAACCCAAATTACCTTTTAAGCAGGCTTAATGAATGAACTGGGCCAATATCAGATCACCCAACCACTAGCTAAATTACTCTTAATACTTTGTAACCATATAGAATAAAACTCACCAAAAGCCTTGTGATCATAAGTGAAATTAAACTTTTTTAAAAATTATATAAAATCTTTCTCTGTTTACATGTTATCCAAATGATCTTTTACTGTGACTTAAAAACTCAGCAGTATTTAATTTTGATTTCTCTTTGACAGTATATCCATTCAGCTGGAATCATACATCGAGTAAGTACTATTATTTGCATTATGGATATGTCTAATTTGTAAGCAAGGTCGAAGAGGAATGTCTTCAGGTGAAGATGGGGAAGGAGGGGGCAAGGCAGAGGGATTGAGGGAGAGTGTTCCAGAATTTCAGGGGGTAGTGGCTGAAAGCATAGTCTCCAATGGTGGAGCGGAGGGCACGAGGGAGACAAGCAAGAGGCTGGAGCCAGTTGGGTGGAGGCGACAGGTAGTGGATTAGGGAGTAAGCAAATCGGAGAGGAAGGGATGTGGCAATCCATGAAGGGATTTGAAAACGAGTGTGAGGATGTTGAAATCAAACACATTTTTAGAGCAAGTATGTTTGAAGAAGGCCCTGTTGAAGAAAGTGCAGCAGTTCAGAGCCAAGTGTGGAAAATCACAAGGAAGATTCTGAATGTCTTGTTTTTCCGATAGGATCTGAAACCCAGCAATCTAGCAGTGAATGAAGATTGTGAATTGAAGGTATGTTCCAGAATATAAATCTTGATTACTGAACAACTTAATTAGAACTATTACTAGAATCAAAGACAATTTTATCATCTTCTGTAAGTGGTTAAATGGGGGAATATGCAAATAGTAATGGCCGCCTTCTAAAGGGATGCCTGTTGTATTGCTGATCATTTCCTTGAAGGGACGCCCCCTGATTATTGTGTCCTTATAATGAAGTTCTTATCAGTATGTTTTGGGAGTGAAAATAACCTGATATTGGGTTTCTGGCATTTTAGATCCTGGACTTTGGATTGGCCCGTCATACTGATGACGAAATGACTGGATACGTCGCCACGAGATGGTACAGGGCTCCAGAGATAATGCTGAACTGGATGCATTACAACCAAACAGGTGGGATATGAGCATAACGTATGCCCCTCAAGTGCTCTGGGACGCTACCCAGCGCGAGGGGGTGCTATATAAATGCAAGTTGTTGTCCCTCCAGGGAGAGAGTGCTCACTCCATTCCATTCCAATAAATAATTGGAATTTTCATCTATAGCTGGGAGTCAGGGAACTCTTGTTTGGTTTGGATACTCTTTAAGCATGGTGTTGAGTACCTCCATGTGTTAAACATCTGGCCAACCAAAATAATTATAATAAATTCTGCAATATTGAAAAAAAATGTTTAATACAGTATTCGTTTTAAAAACAATTATTTGCAGATCCCCTTATTAACATGGTAACATGCCTGGATTCACAGGCACCAGCAAACTCAGGGTCCCTTACCCAACTGGACATCATGTGTGTGCAATAGGTGGATCTTGCTGAACGTGATCTTACCCATACGAACATTAACACTAGGAGTTGCAGGATTGCAATTAAGAACACATCCCCCTTTAAACACACGTTTTCCAATAATTAACTTAGACTTCCTGTTCCTTGTGCCTTAATTATATACTTGTGTCCCTGGACGTGGGTTTGACTTAGATTTAATGTTCAAATCGATGCACATTAATGATGAAAAACGAGCTTCAGAATAGTTTTATAAACATGGGATTTGTTTTGTAATTCTATCTGCTGTTTACGTTCGCTATTTAGGAGTTTAGGTTAAATGGACTAAGGTGAAATGGGATTTGAATATACAATCCTGCAGCATCCTGACTATTTGGTTTGGTCAAATGTCATTTATTTATATATGAATGCAAGTTGTTGTAATAATGTTTGTAAATATTTATCAAAGCCAAATGCTTTATTGGGGCAGATCTATAGACTGAAAACACTTGATTTGAAATGTAAAGCCTTCAGATGCTTGGTGTGAATCTTTGCAGGGTTAAACATTGCTCTCCTTGATAGCAAAGAAACCTGACTATTTTAGTGAAACTCTGGCGATTTGCCATAGTTGAGATTATAATAAAGTCTGTTTTCTGGTACTGGAATAAGTGGGCAAATAATGAATGAAGGCATGAGACCCAATATACACTTAAACCCCATCTTGCCGGACTAATGTAGGGGGTGGGGAGATCTGATTTGGCGACCTGGAATTTCCGACTCAGTAGTTACAATGCTGGTAGCGAATCTATTTTCTGATCACGGGATTCAAACAATCTGAGTCAAAGTCGATATCTCTGATCACTGAAGGATGCTTGGAGAATGGCTGGTGGCAGGTACACTGAGTCCGTGGAAATTAAAATAAAAAAATTAGGTTTGAATTCCGGAAACACGACGTCCGGTAATCGTCAGTGTTTCTCGAAGGGTGAAAACTCGGCTAATCAGGCACCTCTTGCACACCTTTTCAAGTCTGCATCATTTAGGTATTTTTATAAATACCCTAATCCAGCACCACACCAACTTGTATGACTTTGAAGACTCTTACTGTCTTTACAACTGTATTTTGGGAAGGAGTCTTGTTGCCTCTACTTACCATATTCTGTATTGCATCAAAACTTAAATGTACAATGGGTTTGGAAACCATGTAGAAGTTGCACGATAAGTAACAACTGAGTCTTTTTTTAAAAAAAAATAGTTTTTGTTATTTGAGAGATTTATCGTGAGTGAAAGTGTCATTTTAAAAAAAAATGTGGACTTGGTATTAATACAAATGTCGTTCTTTCTTTATCTCCCAGTTGATATTTGGTCTGTTGGGTGCATCATGGCAGAGCTGCTGACAGGAAGGACATTGTTTCCAGGCACAGACCGTATCCTTGATTGCTCTGTTTTTAATGAATTCCAGTATCTCTAGAAAACCGGGGGAGAGGGGAGAGAGGAGGCACAAAAATGGGCATTCTTCCGGTGCGCATGTTCTCACCAATATAGATCAGCTTCATTTCCTTCAAATCGTTCATTGTAGCTTTTTAAACCAACCAAATTTGTTAAATGAATTATTGAACAGGTAAAGATGCTTTTTTTTAAAAAAAATGGAGAGCTGCTCTTTGTCTTTGCGTCCATCAAATTTACTCATTGCCAGGTGTCAAATTGACTTTGTAGCTTGTGTGTGGTCTCTCATTCGATGAGTTTTCAGAAAGTGGGGGCAATGAGAATAGCTTTCGCAATAATCCCATGTTCTGCCACAAAAGAATGTTCGAGATAGTTACCAAAAATAGAATTATTTATGTAAAATTTTTGTGGAACTGTTCATATACCTGCAGAAGCTGCCATGCCAGTCTGTTTAAATAAGTGACTGACTAAAACTTTCTTGAACAAATGAGTTGTTGAATTATCTCTCACATGATTTAAAATAAAGATTCTGGGTTCCATTTAAAATGTTAGTACAAATGTCAATTTTGCAAGAATAGTTCTCTGCTTTATCAGATTACATGGTACATTATTTTTAAAGCACATCTGCTTTTGTAGTTTGTACATTCTGTTCTCTGAATCTTGCTAGCTTCGATAGCTACAATAACCGTTCCAACTGAAACTTGCGACATATCTGACTTCTTAACATCATTACCAATTGCTTTCTATCTAAACTGTTCGTCCGGAACCCCCGACCCAACAGAAGACGTTTCTTTTATTAAAAAAAATTGTTAGACACAGTGGCGTAAAGTTAACTAATGGAATAGTCATTTTATTTTGAGGACTGTCAAAAGACCTTTTCGATTGGGAAATGTTTGTGCAGAGCATAATGATTGGTGGTAGACATACCTAAACATTTGTCTTAAGTGAGTTTTGTTGCCTTCCTTCTCCCTCCCCCACCCTTTAAACATGCAATATACTTTTGGTATTTAAGCACCAAAGTTTACACGCCACTCCTTGTTTCTACTTGTTTAAAGTAGAATTTGGGTGTGTCCCTACAAGTGAGATCAGCCTTTACTTCCATTGCAAACCAATCCAACGTATAGTTTGTTGTTCAGGCACACTGTAATTGCACAATAACATTACATAAAAAACAATGTCATAAAGAACAATGAGGAAGTTTGTTTTGATGATCAAAGCCCTGATATTTTTTTCCCAAGCGGAATTGCTTTATTGCTGGGGGGGTGGGGAGGAGTTTCCCCCCAGTTGTCATTATTCTGATCTCCTTGCTCATAATCAATCACTCAGTAACACAATTCAGACTAAAATTGCCTTGTGGAACCCAAATTTTATTCTTGCATATTTGGCCAAAATTTTCCATGAGCTCTAGTGGAAAATAACTATTGTGGAAATTCAATGCATGCTCTTAAATGCTGTTCTGTCCTTGTAACTTTGAAGTACTGTTTTGAAGATCACCTTTATGCCTGATATTTTGTACAGTCCTGGAGTTCTTTCCAAATCGCTGTAAGGAAATCTATCTGCACCTTCCATTAATGACATCAAATGTTTCACTGCATTTTTTCACTAAATGTAAAATGCTTGTTGCACTAACACAGCACTTTTGGCTTTTTCTCCTAATCATTGATATTCTATCTGGTTGTTTGCTGAATATAGTTAGCAATTTGTGGATTATCTAGATACGCTGATTCAGTATTTGCATGCCTTTCCTGTTATCGTGGTTTATTTGAAAGCTTCTCAAATTCAGTCGGTGATGGATTTTCAGGGTTCTGCAGTTTCCAAAATTGAAGTATTTTCTGCTTAAATTCAATGGGTCAGGTCTAAAGAAATTCTTTTGTGTACATAAAAATTGGAATTTAATTGTAAAATCTTGTTCGGGTTTGACAGCGACGTATGCATGAATTAATCCTATTTTGCCTTGCAATGTTTTGCAGTAAGTTGCAAACAAAAGTGCTCATCCTTTCCTCCAAACTAATGTATTTTTAGTTCAATGGTTTGTTTACTACGAAGAAAGACAACAGCTGAAGTCTCAGTTGTGTGTATTACAAATGTGGTTAAACGTGTCACATTACTCCACGTTAGAGTTTGCATGAGCCCTTCATTGTTTCTTTTAACATTCACATTTGTTTTGTCTTTTACTAACCTGTACCTGCTCAGACAAACATTTTAATGATTAGCAACTAAGCTACTTAATGCTTATGTCACAGAATATTTAACTTTGTGGGCAACCTATACGTGCACGTTTACACACACAATATCATTTGAAAATGGGCATATTTGAATGTAAAATTTCTGTGAAGTAAATTATTATAATGCAATAGCATTAAAGGTGTATACATATAATTAGAAAATGCTATGAGCAAGTAAATCTGCAAAAGGCTTGGTTAAAAATATCTTATTTAGGCTCTGTATTCTCTGCTACTTTGCTATGAATCTGGTCATTTTTGCCTGCTTATGATAACTAAAATGTCTGATAAAATATTACCCTTTGATCCATAAAATAGTACAAAAAGCCTATGTTCATAATTCTAGTATATAGTGACTGCTACTTATACAGGGATTCTATAAATTAACATCATGGTGCATAGCTTTAATAATTTCAAACTCTTGTAGTTTATATAATGAATAACCAGGGCTCCTCCTAGATCTAGTAGTAATTTAGTTGTGTCTGGGTGCATGCTGTGGAATGCTTGCACATTTTCTTGTCTCAAAGAAAAGTACTTATTTTAGGTTAACGATGAAATAAAGTGTCTGTTGCTTTGCACCCTGTTACCTACCTTACGTTTCAATAGGTCTTTGCTGGAACTTGCCATAAAGCTCAACCATCCAATGGGATTAGGTATTGTGTTTGGGAAGGGCGTGTTCAAGCCTGAGACATCTATTCCCTAAGCCTGTGTTTCATTATTAGCAATTGCTTCTTGTATTAGCAAGTCAACCTGGCTGAAGTCATTGTAAGAGCATGAGGGGCCCTGATTGGAGAGGGAAATGTAAAATCTTGGGAATAAAATGTATGTCTGACTAGGATATTTTTGTTGACAGTGGACTTAAGAGTTGTATCGATAATACAGTACGTTACAGCAAAATGTACTAAACTGGTACATTTGTAGCCAGAGAGTAAGTGTTTTCACAGATGTACGCAATGATACTGAATTGCCTTTAATATAATACAGAACATTTGTATTTGGAAAGCTTAGCAATACTAGATAAACCAAGAGATTTGATTTCTACAGATAATGGGACGCATTGATTAGGAAGTCCTGTAAATAAGAAATATGCATTGGTATAATTTTCTTCGAGTGAACAAATACATCGGTAGAGTCTATTTTTATGGGGCTTATTCTAACATTTAGATCTTAGCCGATATGTAGTGTTTAATTGATTTTTAATAAATATTTATGGAACACGGGATTGGAGTACAAGTCTTATAAAGTGTTTACCAATTTGTAATTACTGATCACATAATTACTGGACTAAAATGGATAATGTGATTAAATCTGCAGTCAAATGGAGCTCCTTCCAGGCTATGGGCTTCAGAAGCTTTATTTCTGAGCTGAAGAAGCTACTGGTACTATAGCACAGTCAGAAACTGATGCATTTAACTTTTAACTGCATTCGAAGCAAAAATACAATTTGTGTCCTTCCTCCCCACAAAAGCACCTAGTCTGTATTGTATGAAACTCCCTCCAAAATAACCAACTTAATTCATGAAAGTTGTACTTCAAAGGAGCTAACGCAAATACAGACCCTAACACCGCCGCTGGGTTGAAAACTTCACCTGGGATTCCAGCCTTGGCTCCCGATTCCTCTGCTGTTGGTATTATCTTTACAACTCTAAAAGGCAATCGACCTTTTTTGTTATAACCTGTCCCCTATGTTTTCCTTTATGTTACAATGTTAGATATTGATCAGTTGAAGCTAATAATGCAGCTCGTCGGAACACCAGGGCCAGAACTTTTGATGAAAATATCATCTGATTCTGTGAGTTTACATATTGCCTGTATTTTCCATTGACCATTCATTCCCAATAAGCCACGTTTTTTGCATCACTTTTTTTAAAAAAAAATTAAAAGCACCGAATCACAAATTTATCACATTAATTGGCACGGTTTGCTACTGAAATGTTTTTGCTGTTGTGGTTTTAGTTAACGCAGAAGCAGTATGAAGTAAATCATTGTTTACCCTAACCTCTAATGAGCCTAAAATACCAAACAAACTACCGAATGTTCTTATTACCTGTTGATTCATACTGATTTACAAGTATTTACTAAACGTAAGTTTTGGGTTGAACATCTCAAAATATTAAAAACTTATGTTTGAAATATAAAACAACCTTGTCTAACAATAAAATAACCCGCCATCAATTTATTACTAACCAGGAATTAACTGCAGCATGCTGGGTCTGTGATGGTGGCCTATTTTCCCTCCTGCATGTTTGTGCTTTTTTTTTTGCCTGCATCCTACTCTTTTTTTTTCCCCCCACCCCCCTTTCTAATATAACAACCAGCAACACATCGATTTTGATCAATTTAGTTTTTTTTTCAAAACCTTTTGATTGTCCTTTTGAAATGTGGATAAACGCCTTGACCTGGGCGTTCAAGATATTAACCAGCTTCAGCAGATCATGAGATTGACAGGAACCCCTCCAGCGTCTTTAATTAACAGGATGCCCAGTCATGAGGTGAGACAGACAGGCTACCTTTGAACGCCTTGTAGAGGAGCTCTCTTATTTTTCTCACGTACTCTTATGTAGATCAATGGACCACTTAAACAGATGCGTAGCATCAGGCTGCTTGGGATGAAGTGTCCTCATTTCCCTCTTTAGTTTTTGAATAACATGTGTAAATTAAGCTAATCCCTGTTTTTTTGGTAGTGGTGGGAAGGAGAATACTGCATTAAATGTGGTTTCAGTGCTACGGCTTGTCATACAAGCAGTTTTATGGGTCATTTCAAGGGCGTAAGTTTCCTTTAGGTATGTGTGTTATTTTACTGGTCTGTGATTGAATGATCCATTATCTAGAAAGTATCACTGAATAAAGTGAAATGTCTCCAGTTAGAATTGCAAGATACAGATTTTGAGATGCAATATATTGTACTACAGGTTTAAGTTGCAGTTTTATTGTTTGAGTCTCAGATACACAATTCAAATGTGGGTTATTTAAGTGAGAAGTCACTAACCATTGAAACAATTCAGACTATCTTCTGTGGATTTGAATTATTCCACCTTAAAACTATTACTTTTTCCCCCCCCCCTAGTGTTTTTGCAACAAAAATGGTCTGTGTGTTTCTATTTTGCGCAGAATGCCCGTGAGATTGGCACTGACTATTTTATGTAATTTTAGAGGGAGAAAATGTACGCAAAGTATTTGACGGGTCACAGTAGGTTTAGTGTTACTAGGCTACACATAACATCAAAGTACAAGTTGGAACATATTCCTTTTTTTGAAAATATGTTTTTAGTTGTTTACTTGTAGCCAACTACAGTATAAAAAACATTCCTCCTGAATTTGGAGGCACATGTGCCATTTTCTTTTCAACTTGGAAAATTAGGATTGTGATTTCAAGTACTTATAAATTTTCACAACATTTTGTCATTATTTTTGTATTATGAAAAATGGGCAATTTAACATTTCTGTGAGGAAACTTCAGTACGTACCAGTGAAAGTTCAAAACTTCAAGAAATCTGAAGATCCTGTGGACATTTCACAAACTTTTTTTAAAATTTGGTTTGTCAAAGTAATAAAAAGATTGATTATAGAAATTATTTGAATATAGTAAAATTGATGATATTGGTCAATCACTTTATGGCTCTTTGTGGGATGTTGCTATGCTCAAGTTGATTGCTTTGTTTACCTACAAATCCACAGTCACTACACTTTAAAGGAATAACTATGAAATACTTGAGAATGTGATAAACAGCTACATCAAATGCGAGGACTCTTGTTATCTTAATTCTTTCAAGTAAAAGCTGCCAGTGTGATTCAGAATGTTAGTGTACTTAATACATACAAATGTGTAAAGTAGTATTATGCTTCATAAAAAGTTATTAAAATGTGAAGAAAACCAACCTGTTAATTAGAAATTTCACAAAGCTTTTGCACAAACTGTTCTTTTGGGCCTGTGTCCTCCAGAAAATCGGTAGAAAATCTGTCTTCTTGTGGGTCTGTTTTGTGGGTAAAGGGTGGGGAATGGAGTGAATCACTGGGTCAACATTCTCTTTTAAGCCCGTGGGATGCTATTAAACTGCCTGTCTAGGCTGGGAAAAAGCCTGAGAGGACTTGGCAGTCATGAAAGAGCTTGAACAAACCCTTCCCTTGCCTTTTTGTCCTTTTAGTACTTGGCACTATCCCAATTTTCTATCACTGTAATGGAGGAATGTCTTTTGGCCCCAACCCAGTTTTCTGTCCAAGATAGCGTCCCATTTTCAAATAGGAAATGGCTATTCTGCCTTTGTGTCTGACTCCCCACAGGTTTGATCTGAAGAGAGGTGTACGGTCAGGATGCAAGAAGTATTCTGGTTCAATGTTGATTGAACTAAAAATTTTGGAAATGTGATTTTTGCTTCAGGTCCTAAAAAGAGAAATAGTTATTAAATTAAGAATCACCAGATGGTTAGTTACATGTATTCACTGTGCCTTTGCTGCTAAACAATCCCTCTAGTTCAAGTAAACCGTCTCAAAGTGAACTGATGTACACAAAATGACCTGACAGGCTGTTTATAATATGGAGTGGAAAGGACAACTTTGGCTTATTGATTCCTGACATCTCATCATCATGAAGGAAATGTTCCTTTCATTTCCTTTCATTTCTTTTTCTCACCGCCTTAAAATATTTTTCTTCCAAACTGTTGTAGAAAACCCTATTGTTAAGCTCTCCGAGACATTACCCTGCGTGAAGGGCGCTATATAAATGCAAGTTGCTGTTAGTAGTAGCAGTATTCATTTTGCCATAGACATTCCTAATGTTATTAGGTTGCATACCTGTTTTCATAACTAGTTGCAAATACTGGCTAATTCGCACTTTGTATAAGTATTGATTGGAAACTTTTGCCCATCTTATCAGTTAAATGTTACTGAATTTCTATTAATTTTATCTTCCCAGTCCGTAGTATAGACATTTACAGATTTTTAGGTATCATGCCTGGTACAGAGTCCTTTTTTAAAAGTTGTCATTTAATGTTAAAATTGTAATGATCCAACCTCCTGTGTGTGTGTGTCTTTTTCTCTCTGACTAGCTGTCCTCGCTCTGCTTAATGCCTCTGTCACTCGTTCCCTGCCCAAATAAATCATCGTTTAATGTTACAATTATATTTTGGGGAACAAATTTGCCTTACTCATAACTGGGGTGCTTCCTCCACATCACTTGTGGCTGGAAAGGAAAGAGAAATTGTATTTGTCTAATCTGCTCTGCAAATGGACAGCTTTACAACTAATACTTGTCACTTGTTGGGACTGTTTGTTGGCAAATGCAGCTCCAGTTAAGCCAAATGGCCAATTAAAATTGAGGATTATTCGCCTCGATACCAAAAAAGTATTTTGAATAGTGCCATGTAATCTTTATTGTCTTCTGAAAGTAAGCAAGGATCTCGGTTCATGTCTCAGCAGAAAGGGAGGGATATCGGTGTTTTGTTTTTTAACTTGATTAAAAAGTAGCCCATCAAACATGTTATGTGAACATTTGGTTACAAATCCCATTTGCCAATCAGTATAACAGTTCATGATTTGGGAACCCCAAGCTGACAGATACATTCCGAATCAGGAAAAATAGGTTTTAATTAAACCATGATGTTATCTGTTTTAAAGTATGCTGTTAGTTACTGGTAATTGTTTACTCCTTTGGATTAAGCTCTGTAACAAAGTGGAGATATTAATAAAGTTTAGCTGTGCCATCTGACGATTCAGTGATGGGATTCAATTTAAGTCAACATATTGGGAATTATTAATTTTACGTACACACTAATTTTTCCATTGCCCATGTGGAAAAAGAGGATTCTGGGTTATATTCTAGAAAGATTATGTAAAGATTGTGTTTTAAGTTTGCCTTAGAATTGCAGTTGGTCTGAATTTTGAGCATTGTGTGTATTGGAAATATGGATTGTTAAATGTTAGTTAGAGTAGCTGACAAGGCAGGTGTTCTGGTTGTTTTGCTTGATGCTGCACTGGCCTGATTTAACTGATAAAGGTCTTGACGTGTGTTTTGAATTTAATTTTTCAACAATCTTGCAGTATCCCTTTTCAAGTCATCTTTTTAAACTTAATCGGCTTCTCAAATTTCAAAGAAAATGAACTCCTACTGTACGATTGCAGTGATTTGTAAGATTACTGATTGTCGCATTATAAAATCCCAAATCAAAGATGGCTTTCATTTGCAATTGAAACATTTCGTCATTTTCAGTGTTGGGCTGTGAAAGGCCTTGGAAAGGTGTTACTGTAATTTGGTTTCATTACTGAGACTAAAAGATTATATTGAATAGCTAAGTGTAAAATGCTCTTTATAAACCACTTCTGCAGGCCAGAAACTACATACTGTCATTACCACAAATGCCTAAGCGAAGCTTTGAAGATGTATTCATTGGAGCTAATCCTCAGGGTAAGTACAAATCACGGTGCTGGATATTTTTGATTCAAATGCATAACCCTTATTTTTAACCCTGCTACGCCGTGTGTCGTAAGTTTTCTCACTGATTCAAGCAATCACTGTGTCTAGACTACCCTTGAATTAACTGATAGGTGTGCCCGACTGGAGGAGGTTACCTCACTCATGTTTTTCTGCCTCTTGGGAACATAGCTGAGAGCAGATTCACAATGTGGGAAATTACAAGCACAAACCTGCTTTTCACAATTCCTCTGGCAGTAGATTGATTGCATGCACCAGTTTCTGGCTTGTCACATTTTTAGTTTTGATTTTACGAACCAGAAGAGAGGGGGGTGTGTGGCGGGGAGAGAGAGGAGGCAGAAACTTGGGCAGAACGTATTAATTTAGCATACTTTGTTACGTATTGTACAAATCAACACTTAACGATCTAAAATGATCTTATGAAACTGGACTATTGAATTGACACAAAAAGCACTTTGTAATGTAACTGCAAGTTAAGGATAATGTTGTATCAGACATTTTATTGTTTGTTGCTTTACAGCTGTTGACCTTCTAGAGAAAATGCTTGTGCTGGACACAGATAAGAGGATCACAGCAGCAGAAGCTTTGGCGCATTCTTATTTTTCTCAGTATCATGACCCAGATGATGAACCTGAGGCAGACCCTTACGATCAGTCATTTGAAAGCCGAGAACTTGAAATAGAGGAATGGAAAAGTAAGAGAAACCAATATTTTGCATTTAACATTCTCGTGCAACATGTATATCGTGCAACAAAATATACGGTCAATTCACTTTACAATATATTCTGTGTAGCGCTTTGAGACGTCTTGAAGACAGGATGAGGCGCTAGCTCAAATGCAAGTATTATAATATGCAAGTAATATATTAGATGTGTTTTCGTTTGCCTTACGAAGATTTTCTGCAAATAAAATTCTCACTATTTTATCCCAAAGTTTTTTTTAAAAAAAGAAAACTAGGATTTATGTAATGCTCAAAATTGAGTCATTTTAAGGGATTGTGCATGTTTTAAAGTTTAATCTAACTTGATATTTTTAATACATGAATGCTGAAAACAAACTAGAAATCTGTATAGTTATTTTTACAGCTGCAAAAGCACTCATTTTCGGTTGGACTTCATATATCCACAACTGGGCAGAATCCGAGCAGTTTCTGAAAGCTACCAGACAATTCCTTTTGACTTACTGCTCAGGCTGGTGTACACACATCTGCTACAATGCATGAACATCGTGCAGTACCAAGGGCAACCCTGTACATAAATACGATGTTTAAATATGGAAAGGGGCTTCAAGTGAAACAAAGCAGGAATGAGATTTTTTCCCCTATTCCTCTTCATTCTCTGGAGTGTCTGTGGTTGATTGTTGTCTTGATAGAATGTTCCCATCATTGATTTGTGAGTGGAGGATTTGATAGCTGTTCATCAAATCATCTCAATATTTTCCGATCAGTAGTTCATCTTGAGCTGATGTTTGGGTGACTGCAGTTATGGAAGACTGTTTGTTTTGTGTGCTTAATGGCAATGGGTAGGTTTGTGTTTAATTTTACACTGATGTGAGAATCCTTAAATGTTTAATGCATCACTCTCTTGTCTTCAGGGTTAACGTATGAAGAAGTAGTCAGCTTTGTACCACCAGAGCTAGACTCTGAGAGTATGGACTTGGAACCATGAGAATCTTGCTTCCGTATTGAGATCTTTATATCACTTTCACTGTGAGGACTTGATTGACGGACCTTTCCAATATTATCAAGTGCCTGTCGCGGTCTTGATGACGGATTGTTTGTGGGTGAGGGCAAAAAGGAACTTTTATAACATTCTACGTCCTGCATGTTTTGCTAAATCATGGGCAATCACCAGCTTTTTGTATATTGCCATTCTCATTCACTGTGAACCCTTGAGTACCCTAACCAACTCGAACTCTTGCAAGCGCTTGTATTCAACCCGGTAAACCTTTGTGTATTTGTATGCCTTATTTTCAGAATTGCATACTATTTTAAATGTTTGACTTGTATGTACAAAAGCCACCCAAACCTAACTAAATAAATACAGGCAGTAACCTTTAGTTTTATAAAAGTACAAACGGGGTGTACATTAATTTATAAATGTATTTTCTGCTCACAGCATAAAAGGGGTGATTTTTATTTTGTGATTTCGTTTTTAAAAAAACAACTTGATTCCATTCAGCAATACTACTAAACTAAGCAAAAGCATGTATTCACTGTTTATAAGGGATTTGGAATGGGAATGTTAAATAGCACAAATTTTAAGATTGTTGGGTAAATTTACTTATATTTGTAATAAAGTGCTTCACAACTCTCATGTAAGGTTAAGTAGATGAGCTGTATAAATATACTTTATGCTGATAACTACTCCACTTGTTCATGTACCTGTAAGAATTCATTGCTGTGTGACTTACTGAGTGTGACATTGTAGTGTGACCATCCTGTAAACCATTCTGAAATAAATCCAAATGCTTTTCAAAACATAGTGGCTGAAATAATGAACAAAAATCTGTTTTGTAACCTAATGCGCTCTCCGTTTTATATCCTGCACCCATCACTGGAGTTCAGCCGTGCCTGGATCCATTCTGGGGGAAAAATAACATCTGCCTGACGCCAACCCTTGATGCCTTTCATGTCGGCTACGATAAGCATTGGATCCAACTTACCCACAGGATCTCCAGGCTCCTGTGCGCTTAAAAAGGTCAAGACCATGTGTCTCATTTGTCTTAATTTTTTTTCTCCCTGAAAAAGAATCTTTGGCATTGTTTTTTAAAATGTAATTTTGATTTTATGTCTGACAATCAATCCTAAACGTGAAGCTTTTAAAGTTGAATACAATTGTTTGGCTGCGATACTACTTGACGGTTAGTTAGTACCTGAACACTGGGGGTGAGCTACAGTCAAACAAGTCAAAACAAATGATGGATGGTGTTTCTTTGTATCAGCCCAGCCCTTTCCCAACAAGTAGCCTCCTTCCTTTGGTTTCTTGTCACAAATGGCAGCATTGGTGGGGATACAGACTGAGGCTCTATCAGATAGCTAAACATTTTGCATCTTTTATGAAAGGGTATAGGGTGCATTTTTATAGAGATGTTAATAAACTCAACATGTTCAGCAGCTTATAAGTTCTACCAATATCTGCAACTGCCCTTTCAAGATGACAACCATTTTAATACAGAGCAATTGCGTAGCAAAGCAGAAGACCAAATGATGAATTGCCATAATTCAGCACTTTCTGTATTGTTTGGGTAAGTTGTACAATCTCGTAGAAAAATAACTTCCTTTTTTTCAGGGGGAGTTGGGGGGGGGAAACGATCATCCTTTTATTACTCCCTTGGAAGTTCATCATTCTTTCCCAATCATCTTATGCCCTAAAGAATTTGAATTTCTTGCAGTATAATTGAGCTCCAGCTCTGACTTGATGAGCAATTCAAAGTGAAAGCTGACATCTAAATAAAGTCAAATTTAGAATAGCATTTCAAGCAACCGAATCAACATGTAGTATCTAACTTTTGTTTAAAATTCTACAGGTGCCTGGAATAAAGCTCAAGAATTGTGGAAAAGCTGCTAAGTAATATCCTTGGTCGCCCCACTAGGATTGACCGTATGTGTTCACAATAAATCCTTCCATAATAACTAATTACATTTGTAGAGCGCCTTTCATGTCGGCAGGACATCCCAAGGTGCCGGACAGTCGGATTTGTTCCTGAGGTGGGGATTGGGATCATGAGGGGTGGAGGGTAGGCGGGTGATCGAAGGTGCAGTCGAAGAGGAGGGTCTTGAGATGGGCCTTGAAGGAGAAGTATCAAATGAAGTGAGGTGGTTTGGGTAAAGCTCATTGTGCAGAATTCTGTTGCTTTGGATATATCCACTTCAGCATTGGAAACGACATCAGGTGAGTAGCCAGGAGGACAAGAGCCAGTGGAATAGTGCAAGACATTTTAAAAATGCACTTTACAACATATCAGAGCAAATCCTTTGAGGACTTCAAGATGTCCTCCTGATGTGGAAGGCGCTGTCATCAAATGCAAGGATTAAATGCACATGGGGTGGAGGTAGGGAGAGAGAAGAGAGAGTGAAAATGGGTGATGCTATTGTCTCAACAACAAATTACATTTATATTGCGCCTTTATAAATCTATAAATGAAGGACGTCCCAAGGTGTTGGACAATTAAGGGTCTCCACTCGAGCCATCTCATTTGAACTGAAAGGGAAGAGATTATACACGTCTTAAAATCCACCATTGCAACTTGCCAGGGGTTATATTTTATCTTTTAATCAATGGATTGAGTTCTACGCCTGAGGCCTCTGGATTGGTAGCCTAGGCAGATAAATACGGTGGAACAAATATTTAATAAAATAAAACTTGGAGCCCAACACAGATTCCAAATGTGGAAAATTAAGAAAATTGCCCGATTACAGATGCAAAAGAAAATGTCAGGTACCAGAAACTGGAAACAAAGCAACAACTTACCTGAAAGGGTGCGCTGCCACCTGGTGGCTTGTGCCAGCTTTACCTTATCCTGGGGTCAAATAAGGAAGACCGCAAATTTTCACCCCTGTTGACTTTGCAGTATATAAAGCGAGGTTGCAAACTGAGCGACAATGCTCACATCACAAAATTGTTGCATTGCAGGCTAGAATGTGGCCCTCACCGACTGATCCTTTATAGTTGCATAAAATTGGGGGAGGATAAGTTTGCAGGGCTATGGGGTGGGGGCAGGGGAGTGGGATTAATTTGGGTAGCTCTTTTCAAACAGCCGGCACAGGCACGATGGGCTGAATGACCTGTGCTGTATGATTCTATGCATCACTTTCATACAGTGAGACTGTGATATTGAGTCAGAAATACTGTACATCGGTTTGAATACATATTCTGGGTGATAGGATTCCTGCAAATCTGGGTCTACAGAGAGAGGGAAAGTTAGCCAAGCCTCGATTGCTTTTGAAAAGTGGTGTTGATTGATCAGGGTGAGAACTAAGTCAATAACCTTTATTATTTAACCATAAGAAGTCCAGAAAAATATCAGTGGTAGTTTGCACTGAGGAAAGCTCCCCAGCCAGTTTTGTTTCACTTCAAAGCAATGTGTTACAGAGATTATTATTATTATTACTACTTTGTACTGACTGAATTGAAGGCAGTGCCTTGGGACGTCTTCCCGACCTAAATGTTAAAAACAAACTGTTGGCTGCTTTTCTGACTAAAAGGAGGGGTCACCCATAAAGTAAATACATAACTGCAGCAATCACGTTTAAACTAGTCAGTGGATTTGGAGTTGCACATACAGCTGCACATACAATGGAAGAAGGTAGGTAAGGTACTAAACCTTGGTTAATTCCAACTGGCTCATTTCCCAAAAAGAAACAAGCATATAGCTATGTGCTTGGGTGAAGCTTATGTGCGCCAGCAAATTGGGGGTAAAAGCAAGCACTTATTCCTAAACCTGTTGTCGTGAGAAGGAAGGAAGGAGAGAGGGCAAGGGTCGTAATTTTTAATATTCAATGCCACTGAGTGCATGGTATACTTTTTTGTTGTTGAAGTAGACAGCCTCTGGAGGTTGAGGAACACACCCTGTTGTCTAGTTCTCTAACTGGGCAGCTCTGTTTGTGGGAGGCAGGAAATAGTATATGTTTTGGGAGATCATTATTGCACTAGTCATATTGATTATTCACCAGGTTGGGAGCTGCTGAGAGTCGCAGCAGTTCTTTTTCTTGAGAAAGAAACTCCTGTACATAGTGATCTGGATTTTTTATTTATTTACCTAGTTAGAAGACCGACACTTTGGAAAACAAGATGAGCTTTACGCGGAGAGGATTTTACCGTCATGAGATCAAGAACACGGTGTGGGACGTTCCAGACAACTACGTGAACATGACTCCCATAGGATCAGGAGCCTACGGCACTGTTTGGTAAGGTTACAGAACAGCCTTTGTCAAGGGCTGACTTCTCCAGGTCCATGTAATCACAGGCTGAACGCAGAATCTTGTGAGCAATTCCTTTGGATTTAAACTTAATTCAGCCCAGAGAAAGTAACTTGCATTAGGAGCTAGGGCAGTGGTAAAAGCTAATGAAAAGAACCTGTGTAGCCATTTTCTCATTTGAACAAAACAGAGGTGCTTCTGTACTGTACTGCAGTATACTACAATGTACTTACTATAAATATTTTCTCTTCTCCACTCCACTCTCTACTACTTTCCAAAACAGCTCAGCGACTGACAAGCGAACAGGGACCAAGGTGGCAATAAAGAAGCTGTACAGGCCGTTTCAGTCTGAGATTTATGCCAAGAGGGCTTACAGGGAGCTGAAACTTCTGAAACACATGAAGCATGAAAATGTAAGTTTCACTGAAAGAGTGTAATGGACACCACCTCCTTAATGGTGGTTTGGGAATTTGAGCAATTCATCCTTTAAAGGAAAAAAAAATACAGTCCCAAAAGTGTAATGCTGTACTTTTAAAAAAAAACTATTTTCAAACAATCAGTAAGTGGGAACCCGGTTGCTACTCGATTGGTGGATCACCTTTCGGGGGTAACAATCCCTTTTTAAAATAATAATAATTTGAATAATAATTTGGTCACTCAAGTCACAACTTTTTGTGGGACACTGCTGGTACAATTGGCTGTTGTGTTTCGCCCACAAAATGCACAATCAATTCGCTTTACAGTATATTCTGTGACTTGATACTACATCAAGTGCAAGGATTATAATTATTATTGTAAAAAATGAATTGGCCAATTATTTTATATGTAGTGCACCGAGCCTAGCTGTAGTCTTTGCATTTGATATGGCACCTATAACATCTGGAGCACTATTTGGATAATTGCTGTCATGTGTAGTGACTGTTTATAGGGAGACCAGGCAACTGATTTCCATACAGTAAAGTCTTAAAATAGCCAAAAATTGAATGTAAGCAGTCTGAGACACTACCCTGCATGAAGGGCTCTATATAAATGCAACTTGCTGTTGTTGAACAATGTATCTGGAGGATCGCTAGCTGGGTTAGTGAAAGACATTCTCTTAATGTTCATTATACTTATTTAGTTTAAGGCTACATTTATAATAATAGAATCGAGAAATGTGAGACTCTTGAAGTTGCTGCAGTTGTTATAGTTTTCTTCACTGGAATAGACAGCTCAGTTATCCTCTAATATAGAATGGCTCAGGTGGTTACAGTATTCAAACAAGCCAGTTTGGCCCAACTGCTCTATACTGGTACAGTATTTATGGTCCACATGAGCTTCCATGTCTCCTCTCCCAAACCCTATTTTTCCTTCTCTCATGCATCAGTGTTTACATAGATTTCATAGACCACACAGCATTGGAATCAGCCATTTGCTTCCACAAGTTCATGCCAGTGTTTATACTCCATAGGAGTTTCCATTCACTCCATACTCTCTCCCTTCTGTTCCCTCCCTCCTCCATGTGTTTATCTTGCTTGTAAGTATGAATCTCTTAGATCCCTTTGCTCCTCAACATCTTTTAGGCTGCTACCATCTGGGTTTATGCAGCCAACATCAAACAAATCTCGCCTAAAATATAAAATCAGTCCTATTTAAACACAGAAGGAAGCCATTGAACCCATTGAGGAAACTCATGCAGAGTATAAACACCGGCATGAACTAATGGGACTAAATGACTTGTTTCTGCACTATTGGCACTCTATGTGACTATATAATTTTGCACCTGTGCAACAGGGTGAAATGCTTAACTCTTAAAGAACCTGGTTTGTTAACATTTGGAGTTCCTATTTGCTCATTGACTTAGGAAGGTGAACCTTGAATCTTTGAAATGAGACATAAAGTAAATATATCTGGTAATCATTACAGTTCCATTGTTCTGTTACTGCATTGAAAATCAAACTCGGATCTGCATTGACTATTAGACTATTACTAATTTCCCAAGATTTTTCCTCCGATGGTTTATTTCAACTTGCACTGGTTTCCTTGACTTGCCGAAGGCTACAAACTAGAACTCTAGTTGCATGGATTATTCTCTCAAAAGCAATTCCATGTAGAATATTTTAGAGCCTCCAGCATGTAAAACACAAAGTTGGGATTAAAGGGGATGAATACAATTAGATCATAGTTTAGAGTGCATTATCCTGGTTTATATCAACCCTGACAACTGTTTCTGTAAATTTACACTGTGACATTGAAATACTGCAATTGTAATCTTTGTAAAGCTTGTTAATAATAATAATAATACTTGCATTTGATATAGCGTCATATCACGTAGTACAGCTGTCTCAAAGCGCTACATAGGATATACTGTGAAGTGGATTGACTGTGTATTTTGTGGGCTAAAACATGAAAAATGGCTCTTATTATAAATGTAGCCTTGAACTAAATTACTTACTGAAATTATAAACTTAAATGTTTTCCCTGCCATCGTTAAATCTGTTATCCCCATTAAATCACCCATTGTTTCCCAAATTCTTCAGACGTGAAGCACAATATATGTGCAAGTATTATTGTTAATAGTGAAATGAGGAAGAGGTCCTGTTGTTGTGTATGTTTGTGAGCGGTCCCAAAAATTTAACAGTGACTTGACAGGTAACATCCTCCAGTCTGCGTGGAGAATGAAACGGTCTTTAGCTGATTTTCAGCTTTACCAAAGTATCTGAAACCATTGAGTTAATACGGTGTAACAGGAAGTTAGTCATGGAGCTACATGTTGCGGCAGAACCCTTCGATGCAAGATTACATCTCTGGTTTTGTAGGAGGATTTTGCACAGAATAACTCAGCAAATCAAACTTTCTTCCTCCCTCCCTCTCCTTTTCTATATGTTTTTGGCATCAGTCTGGCTCAGTGGCAACACTCATGTCTGAGCCAGAAGGTTGTGGGTTCAAGCCCACATTCCAACAACCTATCTCTAGAATTTCCATGTGTAGGTGGGATGCATGGAATTCTCAGTTTGATTTGGATACTCTTAAACCTGGTGAGGAGCCTCTGCATGTGTCAGACACCCGGCTGACCGCAGAGAAAACCCACAACAGAACTCGTATCGTCTAGCCAGACATTCTTGGCAGCACTGGGGGAGTGTTACCATTGTTGGCGGTGCTGTTCTTTGGATGAGGCATTTAAACCGAGGTCCTGTCTGCCCGTTTAGATGCATGTTAAAGATCCCACGGCACTTTTTGAAAAAAGAAGGCAGTTCCTCCCGGGTCAAAAAAAAATGGTCGTTCACTTAATTTTGTGTTTCGCCCACAAATTATACAGTCAATTCACTTTACAGTGTGTTCTGTGAAGCACTTTGGGATGTCCTCCCGACGTGAAAAGCGCTATATCAAATGCAAGGATTATTATTATTCTGTGAAGCGCTTTGAGGTGTTTTGAAGACGTGATAAGGCGCTATATCAAATGCAAGGATTATTATTATTATTAATGGCTGCTTGTAGGACATTGCTGTGTCCAAATTGGCCTGCCATGTTAGCCTAAAAAACACAGTCACTACACCCTACAGTAAATCTGAGGCATCCTCTTGATGTGAAAGGTTGCTATCTCAAATGGAGGGATAATTATTATTATTTATTTAAATAATCTCATTTGTAGTTACATACCTTTATCACCAGGTAGAATTTGCAACAGTGCCGAACTCGCGCTATTTTTTTCTGAGATGGTGCAAAGTACACTATGGTTGTTGGGGGGGAAAAAAAAATCAAGGCTCCTTCTATTTGAAGGTAAACATGTTGCTTGATTGAGCTGATCAGAGCGAGCAAGTGCTCATTTCTGTGCTGTGGGACTGCTTTTGTCTTCTCATCTGAAAGTAATTCCTCTGTTGTACGGAATTCAGCTGTGCAACGCTGGGCAGGCCCAAATTAGTGTACTTGGTAAACGTTATCATGAAGACACGCTTGCATTCTCTCACGCTATTATTTCACTGATTCATTAACTTTTCAGTTCGTACACTTGTGTCAGCTTGGCTCACAGCCAGTAGCATTCTCGCCACTGGATCAGAAGGTTGGGGGGGGTTTCAAAGACCGCATCGGGATTCTAGCTCATAGTTTACACTGGCACTCCAAAAAGCCGACCTCTGATGAGGCATTAAACCCAGGTCCGCTTGTTAAAGATCCTCTGACATATTTCAAAAGAGGAGAGAGTTTCTTCCAGTGTCTCTGGACAACAACCCTCCAGATAAATTGATAATTCACTTAGAAACATACAACAGGAGTAGTCCGTTCAGCCGCTCGCCATTTTTAAAAGAAAAACACATTCTGTTATTGCAAGAAACGCAACTCCTAGAATTGCAGTGATTCCTTAAGAAAATAAAATTTGAAAAGCTTGTCTTAAGGAACATATGAACAGGTTTCAGTCCCTCGAGCCTGTTCTGCCATTCTATTAGTTCATGGCTGATCTGCACCTCAACTCCAATTACCCCACCCACCTCTCACTTTGCCTATATCTCATGATGTCCTGACCTAACAAAAATCTATCCACCTCATCGTGGAAAATGTGAATGGATCCAGCATCTACAAGCTTTTGGGGGTTGGGGGGATTGAGTTCCAGATTCCCACTACCCTTTGTTTGGAAAAAATGCTTCCTGATTTCACTCCTAAATGGCCTCGCTCTAATTTTAAGATGATGCCCCCTTGTTCTGGATTCCCTCACCAGAGGCAATAGTTTCTCTGTAGCTACCCTGTTGAATCCCTTTTATTATTTTTAAAAAGCTCAACCAGATCACCCCTCAACCTTCTCTTGGCTTCTTGGTAGGAAATAATACAGAACCTGGCCTTGGCTCTGTGTGTATTTTTTTTAAACAAACGAGTTTCTCCACTTTATTTGGCTCACAACAGTGACATTACAACATTACATTACCGTGGAGTCCTGTAGCTCAGTGGTTAGAGCGTTCGCTTTGCAAGCGAGAAACCTGAGTTCAATTCCAGGCAGAGGGCGAAATCTTGGGCAAGTTTCCTTACTCCACACAGAGACTAATAATAATCCCACCAAAACCAATAATAAATTGGACATTTTCAATCTACGACTGTTTGTGGGACATTGCTGTGCGCAATTGGCTGCCGCGTTCGCCCACAAATATAAGGTCAATTCACTTTACAGTGTGTTCTGTGAAGCGCTTTGGGACGTCCTCCCGACGTGAAAAGTGCTATATCAAATGCAAGGATTATTATTAGTATTATTACCAGCAGAACCAGAAGCTAAACAATGTATGGAAAGTAATGAGGTCTGGATTTGATCTTTAGTTTTATCATAAATAAGCAAACACAGAATGGTATTACACTACCAAAAAGTATAAAAAGGAAATAAAAAGACTGATCCCAAGCATGAAGCTACGAAAATTATGTTTATAGTCTGCTGTGCTTAATCTAAAATACATTTTGTTTAGTGTATGTATAAGGAAAACCCAGACTATTACTTCTAAGTCTGCCAAAACCAGAGGACAAGACTGGAAAACTGAAAATTATATTCAGAGCAGATGTTAGGAAAAAGTATTCTAAATATTTAGAATAAATGACCAAGCAAGGAAATAAAGGCAAAAACTATGGGTTGTGCTCCGTACAATTTGATGGGAAAGTTACTGGGAATATCGATGTTAGTATTCCTGGGCATAATGGCCTTTTCCCATCAAGACTGTATGTATTATTTCTGTATTATTTACTACTAATGAGTCTCTGATTCTCTCTGGAGATATGACTATTTAAAGCTTCAGTTCAGGTATCATCAAATTAACAGACACTGTTACAGGAATGCTTTGAGATGTCCTCCCAAAGTGAAAGGTGCTGTATCAAATGCAAGGATTACTATCTCGTGTTCCTGTGATCATCTGTGGTCTATGACACGGATGTAGCCATTTGCCTTTAATACAAGCTTTTATTTTTGTTACCTTGCCTATTATTACGTACACCATTCCGTCCCCAACAATTTAACCGTATGATTCTCCAAATTTTACAGAGGGATTATGCCCCCTTGTGGGAACGTGCTTATTCTTTTATGGATACTCTAATGTATAATTCAAACATTTTCCATTGGAAAGTCCTGGATGAGAGCTAACTTTCTCCAGTTGAACGTCAACAACACCGAGGCCCTCCTGATTGGCTTCCATCAGTGCCTTCGACCTCAGGCGCTACAACATCACCATCCAAGGATGCACACTCTACCTCCCTGAGCCAGTCTGGCACCTTGGCGTCTTGTTTGACCCTCAACTATCCTTTCTACCCCACATCCATGCCATGACCCGACATTGCCCAGCTCCACTACTGCCTCACCCCTCAGGCCACCAAAACCCTCATTCGTGCATTCATGTTGTCGGCCTTCCCAACTCTTCCCTCCACGAGCTGCAGATCATCCAGAACTCTGCAGCTCGCGTCCTCTCAACTCTGTGATCCCATCACCCCCACCCTCGCCCGGCTCTACAGAGGATAGAGTTCAAAATCCTCGCCTTCAAATGATGATTCGTTGTTGCTGCCCTCATCCAGATAAGTGAAGTTCATTTACTCTACTCGACTGAATATTGTACATTTCTTTTTCAGGTTATTGGTCTTCTCGATGTCTACACACCTGCCGTTACACTGGGAGGGTTTCGCAATTTGTAAGTGTTCTGGGGAATGTATAATATATATATTGTATATATATGTGTGTGTATAATATATGGCAGTGATCACAGTCCCTTTGAATTAACATCTGAAAGCCAACAACGAAGTTCAGCCACTGAGAGCAGTCACTGCTGCGCTAAAGTTCAAGTAATAGTATGTCTTTGTCCTCTTGGTCAAATCGATTCAGAATTGTTCTCCTTGTATTTGCTAACAGCTGCACTCGCAGCAATGCGCTTTGGACAGTAATGTGATTGTGTCTGCGGTTCTGCAAAGTAGAGCGTTACCGTATTCTGAGGCATCATTTTATAGTGTTAGAATTCACAGTAAATTAATCCTGCTTTGCTGTTTGCACAAACAAATTGTAAAATGGTTTCAGTTTGCGAACCACAAGCAATGATTCTGCGTGGAAAGAGAGCGCGAGTTAGCAAACGAGCTCCTAAAATTACAGTAAAATTACAAGTTAATACTTCAGGGCCGCGAATCGCATCGAGATCGAGAGAGAAACAAGGTCACTGTATATTCAGGGAGTCCAGTGGGCATTGAAGTGCGGCCTCAATCAATCAAAGCCGAGATGAGATTGCCTGCATTGAGCACCGGGCCCTGGCTTTGAGGGAATGATTTACAGGTGGAACTTCTCTACGGCAGAAAGCGATCGCAAGTGAATTTTGTTCTGTGAATGTGGTTTCCCACAACGTTTTAACTCACACCATGTTGGGTCGTTCCTGAGCTTCAGCACGAGAGCAATAAAGGATTGCGCTGACCTCACCTCACCGACAATGGCAACCATTGATTGGGAATACTTGGGGGTTAAGTTTGTTACTGCTTAAAACTTTGAGATAAAAATGCAACAAAGTCACTTGGAAATGCTTCCATTTCAGTTACCTCGTCATGCCATTTATGGATGCCGATTTGGAAAAGATTATGGGGAAATTGACGGAAGACAGAATTCAGTTCCTCGTCTACCAGATATTAAAAGGTCTCAAGGTGAGTAAACTTTTTGATTTTGTCTATTTTTTAAAAAAGAAAATAATTTGGAAAGTGAGGTAAAATAAGGCAAAAAGTTTGGAAATATTCTGAGAAACTCCAAAGGGAAATCTTTTGAAAAAGGATTATTGTTTGTAGTAGTTTTTAAAAAAAATAAAACCCAACATTTTTTGGTTACACTCTTAACGCAGCATGAAAAACGGGGTTGTGTTAATAGCGGCACCATTTTAAAATCCATTTGCTTTTCGTAAACTGATGCTACTTTCGTCTGTGACACTGTGAAGCTTTGAATCCAGTGAATTCAGATTGCCTCGCTGGCGGTATTGAGGTCTGCATTAGCGGACAAATAAAAGTCGAAGCTTCCATCACCTAATGCGTTCGACAATTCTCATTTAAGGAGTGACCTTTAGCTCTTTGGATTTCTGCTTGCTGGGCATATCATCTCTATGGGAGGATCATGAACTTCCACCCCCGTGTTTTAGGTTTCTTCCCTCTCTCTCTCCCCTTCAGAGCATCCAGCAAGCACCATTCCTGACCAAAAAGTGGTATAAACCACTCGTGAGAAACTGCAGTTTGGGAAAGAGTCCTGGAGGGAATTGTAAGGCTGAGAAAAAAAAACCATGGCGCTTAGTGTAGCACTTTGGCATCTCACTGTGCTACAGGCCTGTTCTATGTTTGCTTTACACTGCGACGACTTTAATACTGTAGTTTAATGTTTTCTGTTTGCAATTAACTCTTGTTCTGGGCCATCGGATTTCCAACAAACCAGATAAATCTACTTATGTGGTCGAGTTGCATCAATACTTGTGGTGATAAATATCTGTTTCTTCTGTTTCAGTATATTCATTCAGCTGGAATTATCCACAGGGTAAGTTATTGCTTTTGGAAAATCTGGTTTTATGTTTTATGCAAAGCCAGAAAGCAGAGAGTTAAGGGCTCTGATGTGATCGTAAAAGTTTTATAACCATCTTAAATAATCCTGTCTTTACTCCAGTGTAATTGTGGGCAACATCGAGCTAAGCCTAAAACCAATTGTGTTAAGGTGTAAACTTGGAGGTGTGACTAATGCCACGTTTTCAACTTGGGTCTGTCCAGGTTTTGAGAATCTTTTCTCGGTTTGAGAATTGCTCAATTTTGCCCCCAAACCCACTGCACTTCCTTTTTTTTTTCATTTTCCTAAAGTTAATGAAAAGAAATCCTCTACTGAATAATTACGATGTTTCCAAAATACATTGGTGAATGACGATAAATAATAATTCTCGTGTTCAATAGACTGACTGCCTTTCACGTCGGAAGAATGTCTGAAAGTGCTTCACAGGATTTCACTGTAAAGTGCAGTGACTGTGTATTTTGTAGACGAACTTCTACATTGTTTTTGCCCATATTTTACCTGTGATATTGCGAAGCTTCAAACTATCAGGAGGTTCAGCCTCACCAGATGCATTGAGGTCAGTATCAGAGGGACTGTGGGTGGGTGAAGCCAACCCAATGTAGGCGAAACATCTACAATATATACCAAATAAAGGGAAAGGTGGGAAGTCCCTATTCTGAAACTGAGACGTATTTCAATTTAACACAAATAAGAAAAATGGCAAAATTAATACTGGATTCCTTATCTGTAGAAGGAACATATAGCAAAACATTCCTCCATCAATAAACACTCTCTGGTGTATATGAAAAAATTTTGCATTCAAAGCATAATTGAAATTCTAACAATAGCTCAGAATCGGGTGTTGAGTATTGTAGATGAGAAGCTGCTCACAGGAATTGTAGGAAACAGCGTTCAGTTGCTGAAATACTCAAACTTTATTGGAAGATTTTTTATTCATGTTGTTAAACTTTTTTTTTCCCCCTTGTTCATAGGATTTAAAACCAGGTAATTTGGCTATAACTAAAGACTGTGAGTTGAAGGTAAAAATACTTTAAAAAATACTTTTTTGCTAACGGCCAACGAAGCTGTTGTCTTATTTTATTTTGATTCTCACTTGAAATTATAATTGCATTTGATGCACTGGCTTATCACATTGTCGATGTCTCAAAGTACTTCATAGGATATACTGTAAAAGTGAGGAGTGACTGTGTGTATTTTATGAGGTGTAACAAACTGTGGAAGATTTGACTACAGAGGTGACCAATGTTGTTCCACCTGTTGACCAAGAGAGGGCATGCGTATATTTGCACGTCTTCTACAACTAAGGAACGACACCATTCTCTCTCTCTGCACGTGAGGCTAACGGATCTAGTTAAAAGTCCTGCCAACCATGACGTTTATTAATGAAAGTGCAGCTCATGTACATCTATTGATGCATCATATCAATTTAAGCTGTCCCAAACTGTTCTTTATTACTTTTTTAAAAAAGATTTGAGCCCAAATCAATCAGAATCAATAATAAAAACAATAATAATCCTTGCATTTGATATAGAGCCTTATCACGTCTTCGCGACGTCTCAAAGGGAGTCACAGAATATACTGTAAAGTGGAAGTGACTGTATATTTTGTGGACGAAATGCAGCAGCCAATTGCTCACAGCAATGTCCTACAAACAGTGGTGGATTGAGTGGCCAATTTATTAGACAGCAGATCAGATTATTAAAACGTATTTGTCTGCTCCAGATCATCGACTTTGGTCTTGCCAGGCAGGCAGATCTGGAGATGACGGGGTATGTGGTCACTCGATGGTACCGTGCTCCTGAAGTCATCCTGAATTGGATGAGGTACACTCAGACTGGTACGTCTCCAGTAACTCCGACCTCTGAAAGTCATTTCACTTCCAGCTCAAAAACATTCTTATCATAACGACTGTAAAAATTGTGTTTCCCTGGATAAGTGTTCATAATGTATTTATGAGATAATAATCCTTGTACTTGATATACCACCTTTTCATGCCGTCGAAACATCTTAAAGCTCTTCACACGATTTACTGAAAAGTGTAGTGATTGTGTATCTTGTCGGCAAACATGGCAGCCAATTTACGCACAGCAATGTCCAACAAACAGCAATGAAGTTAATGACCAATTTGATCTGGAAGATTGTTGGACAGGACACTGGGAGAAACTCCCTCCTCTTCTCGAATGCTTCCGTGGGATCTTCAACATTCACCTAAACAGGCAGAAGACAGGGCAAGATTCTTTAAAGTTTCTATAAAATGTCAGTCTAAAGATTCTTCTGTTAGAGTGAATCCCAAACTGTGAGCTCAAAGTCCCAATGTGGGATTCGAACCCACACAAACTTCTGACTCAGAGGCGAGAGTGCTACCAACTAAGCCAAGCTGACACCATTTAATAGAATTGAGAAAAATAACTGCCATAGGAAAGAAAATAGTTCTCTTTCATATGTCCAGCTTCTATTGCACGTTAGGTATCAAATCATCCTGAAAATGGCATTGAGTTTACGCCATAAACCTGGTTTGAGTTGCACGATCTACACTTAATTACATTTGAGCCCCGGGGGTAACAACTAATGAGGACACAATTTGGACAGCAAATTAATTCACACTGTTTGCAGCATTGTTTAAGCGTAGGTGGTGCAAATTGATTTGGTCTCTGCTCAAAGACCATTTAAAGGACCGTTGTTAATGTTATTAAAGAGTACTTCCTCAGTGCAATTTTGGAATAGGAAGTAAAAGTCTGTCTTCTCACTGCAAAATCTAAATATAAATCTGGCTTTTAACTCTAAATCTAAATGAAAAAATCTGGCTTTTACCTTATACTTCTAAATCTGGCTTCCCACTCTAGTTGCCTGGAGTATTAAAGGGCAAAATTAAATATACTTGAACTGCAAATGCATCATACAAGTAGCATGATATCTATCAGGTTACTAAACCAGATTAAGCACCAATTATTGCCCTTTCAGTGAGGGATCATTCTCTCTTTCTGTAAATATACAAAAGTTTAATTTCTCAATTTCCGCATCCCCCCACCACCCAAAAAAAATTGGCTGTTTGTGGGACATTCCTGTGCGCAACTGACTGTAGCACTTAACCCACAAGATGCACAGTTAATCCTCTTGACCGTATATCCTGTGAAGCGCTTTGAGACGTCACGATGACATGATAAGGCGCTATGCCACATGCGTGGTGGGGTGGAGGGTAGGCAGATTAGGAGCAGTGGAAACTCGTGTGTAATATAAAATCCGACTCGGACGAGTTGGACGGATAGTCTGTTTCGTTCTGTCCACTTCATGTAACCATATACAAAAAAAATACATTTCAGGTATCTTATTTCACGATGTGCATTTATCATAATGGTAATGGTAATAGCAGATCCCCAATTACACTCTGCTTTTGAAAGTAGACACGATATTAATAGTTACAGGATAAACTAAAGAGCCTCCAGGGGCTTATTAAACCTCCCTGTTATGAACTGTTAGTGGCAGCAGAGTTTTCTAACAAACATCAGGTAGATTATCCAGTTAAAGGGGCAGGATAAGGAAAAGCTTCCAAGCGCTAACATTTTTATCTTAAATTACTATGAGTTACAAGTCCACTTTACACTTTAGTTATTTAGTAAAGCAGAATTAATTTGACTTAACTCTAGAAAATTTAAATACTGTGACTCAAAATATAACGGTCGCACTTAGGTGGTAGGACTAACAACACCAACTTGCATTTATATAGCGCCCTTCACGCAGGATAGCGTCCTGGAGCGCTTCTCTAATTTTAACAGGAAAACTAAATTCTGCATTTAAGCATGCACATCTATTCTACGAAGAAACACTCGGAAGAAATCTGATGCACTGTTAAAAAGTGCATCAACCTGTAGAGTAATTCACTTAAAATAACATTTAACAAGCTGGAGTTTACCAACAAACATCTACTCCAAACTACATGGTTTTTACATGATCTTGACTTTCCACCAAACTTGCTACGATGTTCAATCAGAGACATAATGGTAGTTTAATATTTGTGGATGATATAATTTATATTTCAGATCTCCTTTAATTTACGAAGTGGAAATTTGGTTTGGGTATCAGTTTAGCTGCATTCAAGGTCTGCCTTGCAAATAGCTGGAAAACATCCAAACTAAACTTTCCCAGACCTTTCTCAGACCCTTGTCCAAGACCTCAATTAGCTTCATGTTGACAAATGAACAGCTGGTAACTTGCATGAGTTTCTGGTGATTTTGCCCATCCTTCTTGGAATCTTATTCTTCAGGTTCCTTTGTATCACTTTGTCCTGTAGGAACACAATAAATCCAGAAACGGCAACTTTTTAAACTTCAATTTATTATAATAATCCTTTAGTTTGATCCAGTGCTGTGTCGAAATGTCTTAAAGAGCTCACAGAATTTTAGTGAAGTGTGTATTTTGAAAATCAAAATTATGTTTTTGGATTTAGATGCTTGATTTGGTGCAATTATTTCATTTGCTTTTCCTAACGGCCGTTTCCTTTCAAACTTCAGTGGATGTTTGGTCTGTTGGTTGTATTTTGGCTGAAATGATCACAGGCAAGATACTCTTCAAAGGAAAAGACTGTATCCTTATAAACGTTGACTGGGTTGTAGCTAATGTGTAATTTGGGCTATTGCTTTTTTTTGGGGTGGGGCGGGGGTATTCTGTGTTTAAGTAACTATCTTCCTTGGGGGTAAGTAAGCAAGAAAGCTAGAAAGTAAGCAAGCAGGGCTTCCTTGGAGCTGAGCTGGCTCCAAGTTGATGTATTTGGCAATGGAATATGAAATTCAAGTCAACCCTCTGTTGGCGATCACGGTAATCCAGAGCCAGACCGGTCTGCAGTGCTGCAACGAGCATGGCACATGGCCAGGACCTGGAGGGGAGCTTGGAGTAGGGATTCTTTCCATTCAGCTACTGTTAACCCTGTAAGCCAAAGCCATACTGGGAAGGGTGATACCCAAGTAATGGGAAGCTTACCTGATAGTGCTCTCAAATGGCAAGCTGCGTTGTTTCAGCTAGACTCCAGAAGTATCTCAACACACACTCCTGAGGTCCCCAACTCTCGGGTCTCGATAACCTGCGCCTGATGCTCTCCGGAATTAGATAAGCAGGACGCATCCCTCCAGTGAAAGAATGAGCATTCCATTGCAGACATGGGGAAACTTCCATGTGTAGTGGCATGCGTACGTGGAACCATCCGTCTTGTTTGGATACTGTGAAGCACGGTGATGGGTTTCCACGTGTCTCAGGCAAATGGCTGTCACAGTGAGTTGGGAAACAGTTTTATTTTAGTGAAGAATGATAATTTTTTGCTTTTGAGAGCAGTATTTGTTTCTTAACAATAAGATCCAGACCTCGATCAACTGGCACAGATCATGAAGGTAACAGGGACACCTGGGCCTGACTTTATTCAGAAACTAGATGGTCCGGAGGTAATGCAATATTTCAGACTCATTACACATCACATGTTGCACTAACTTTTGGATTACATTAGTTTATGAATAATTAACAATGGTTACATTTGTTCAGATTTCCACATTATTCATGGAGCGTTATACTTCGTATCTCGCTGTGCTCTCACTTTCTCTCTCTCTTAATTATGATGAAGTTTCTTCTATGTTAACCTGATAGTTATGCCGACATTAAGAGTGCCACTGAAATGCATCACTTATTGAAATATTTAAAACTTTTTTTTTAGGCTCGGCGCTACATCAGAACTCAGCCATACATTAAGAAAAAAGACTTTTCTTTACTTTTTTCTAATGCCAGCCCTTTAGGTAAGTTATTTGTAGGCAAAGTCAATCTAACCACAGCCTTCCTTGATTGTTAATGTTCTACCGAGTGAATATTGAAGATATGATGTGCTAATTAGCTGCTGAGCTGAATGTAACAGCGCCTTAGTTGTCGTCATCCATTGATTCACGGTAAACCATCTGATTCCTAAGATATCCCTTGTGATAATAATAATATAATAATCATTGCATTTGATATAGCACCTCACCATGTTTCAGACTGCTTCACAGGATTTCAGATGTCTCAAATGGTGCAATAAGGCACTATATCAAATTAAAGGATTATTTTTATTATTATTATTAAGTGTAGTGACTGTCTGTTTGTAGGCAATACAGCCATTAAAACAACTGAGTGACCAATTTTATTTGGGGATTGTTGGCCAGGACACCAGGAGAAACTCCTTTTCTCTTTAACATCTATCTGAACAGGCAGATCATTGAAGTCCCAATGGCATAATAGTGGACGTACTAGTGATATTTACTGGCCCTGAATGTGCAGTACCTATGGTTATATTGCCCCTACTTGACTTTGCTTGTGGACAAGACACACATCAATCACAGTTTTCACATCTCCTTGTGGACAGCTTGCAGGCTCTATTTGAGGGTGATGGATTACATGTGTATTTGCTGTACCTCCCATTCTCTCTGCACATCTAGACAGCCCTCCCCTCCTGCTCTTCTGCTAACATATCCACCAAAATATGGCAGCTAGTGATGCTTTCAGGCAGAGTTAACATCATCGTAATAATAATCCTTGCCTGCATTTGATATAGTACCGAAAACATTTTTCAAATAACCTTGCTTGTAATTACCATCAACTCTAGTGACTTTTCATGTAGATTTTACTCTGTACTATTTTTCTGTGGCGATGCCTGGAACGCTTTCTCCCTTGTTAAGCTCATGGATTCCTGGACCGACCTCCTTGGAGTTAAATACATTTGCTGTGTCCTCCTCGGCTGCTCGTAATGTTACACTGATTCCTCCTTTATGCCATTTAACAAGCTTTTAAATGATATAAATTTACCATTTTTCCTCTCCTTCACACTAAAGATTTTAACTGGAATCTGATGGGGTTAGGAATGCTCGAGATCAGCAGTAATCATGAACCATTCAACTGTTGGCACAACCTCCCCACATTCCACTCTTATGGATGTCCTACATTTTCTCTAAAATTAGTGAGCGCAGGAATGTCGGACCGTAGGTTATTTTTTTTAACACTTTCAATGACTGATCAATGCCTCTTGTATCCTATTTGTCAATACTGAATACGTTTTTATTGAAGTTAAGGTTTGTATTCATTTGGTAAAGTAAATCTTACTGTGATACTGTGCCTGACTGAGCTCTCCTAAGGCAGTGTGTTGTGTGTGTAGGGAGTGGGGGGCGAAGATGAAATCTCTTCTGAGGAATGTATGCGTCTGGTGGGAAAGGAAAGGGAGAGTCAAGAACTCTCCTAAGAGCAGTATGCCTTTGGCAGGAGGAGTGGGGGAGTGGAGGTAAAAGGTCTCATGTTTCTCACGGAGATTTTGTCTCTTGTTAGAACCTAGTAAGTTAGGGTAACTGAAAATGAGACAATTCTGCATTCAAATACGTGAAATGATCAGAACTCCAGAGGCAGGAAGGTTTTGCATTTCATTGAAATGCTCCCTTCTATTTTTAATACCTCCTTTGCCTGTCAACCAAGGTAGAAGGGTTATAAAGCGCTGGGAGACAGGTGTCTGTCAGACGATTTTATTCATGTTGTCGGTAATGAAAACATGTGGTCAGTGCCTTCATGAAACTGTAAGTATATTGCATTAATAACCAATTGACAAATGGAATAATTAGAAAATACGGTCAATCTTTTCTTTATGAAACTTGGGAGGCTCTCGTTACTTTAACCTTGGGTGCAACAACAACTTGCATTTATATAGCGCCAGAGTAGTGTCCCAGAACACTTGGGGTACACTGTTTACTGGCCTGTGATCCTGTTGCTTTGCTTTGATACGACGCAATTTTCTACACAGCCATTTTAAAAAAAGTCAAAGTTTCAAAGTTTTCTTGTTGCAGCAACCCCCGAATCGTTTCATGCAGGACCTTTTATTGCTAACAAATACAAGAATCATTCAGTCCACTGGTTTGTGCTGGTTTCAAAGCAATATCCCAGAGTTAACAGTACTTGCACGATCCACTGTACTGCGCCTCCTGTCATACATCAAACAAGACTAATTCGACTTAAGTGCCTGTTAAGGATTGTACCAGGATGCCCTCAGTAACTTTCATTGAAGAGGGAACAGAACTGGATTAGACAGCATGATTTCTCCTCTGGGACCTGAGTTAGTCAGAATCAAACTTGGGGATATAAATTGAAGAGTTCAAAGTCTTTTACAGCTGCATACATCAAAGATATAAGCAAAATATCTTTTCAAATCGAAATCTGCAACATTAAAAGACCCCTTAAAAGAATCCCATTACGACAGACTTTGTTGTAACGTGGGTACACTTATAGCAAAATTGGGGTGCAGGCCACAAAATTTACTTACCAAAAAATCCCAAATGTGCCAATGTCTGCCCGGCGCTCGCTTCAAATTGAGTTGTGAGCTTCAAAACACCGACTGGCCACAACGTGGATCATCAGGTCGCCACTAACGTTATTACTTGCACAGGGCGCAGTCAGTGACATCCATTTTAGCTTCCAGCATGTTTAAAGCGTCCGGCTTTCAGTTTTAACTGTTTTGTGCTCTGGGACGCTACCCTGCGTGAGGAGCGCTAGATGAATGCAAGACATTGTTGTTTATGGACTGAAATAACCACATTGTAAAGGAGTTGCCCTGTATTGAGTCAAATAGAGAGATCGTTGATGCATCTTTTTATGTTAATAAAAGCCGATCCTACGAAATTGGAAGCAAAACTTCTAATATTTGTACGTGTTCTCCTGGTACAAATGTTTTTAAATGTTAATTGTGATATTAGAGTACTTTGCCCTTTTAAGCCCTTACCTTTATCCCACTTGATTCTCCAAATAGCAAGTCTCCTTATCTTAAAAAAACAAGACATATCCTGGAGGGGGAAACCAAAACTATTACACAAACGGCACAAAAGAAGCCGACTTCCTCCACATATGGGCATTAGGCACTTTGAAAGTTCACATTTTCTTCTGGATCTTTTAACAAATTTCAGGCGCTTTTGGATCAACAAAGCCTTCCATTAATGTGAAATATTCATCTTAGCCAACATTCTGCCTTTGGCTCAGATCTGTGTGCTTCAATTAGCTTTATAACTACTGTGACCTCGAGCAGCCCCTCACCACATTCCTGACATTCCTCACAGTCCCGATGCCAGAACTCTGCCGAAATTGCTTTTCTAGAGATACAGTACAAATCCGTTGCTGGATTTAACTTTGCAATGGTAATCATTTGAAAATGTTCAGCTGAACTTTTTGTTTCATTGCTACTTCAGCATTTTTAACCTAAGTGCAAAATAGTGTTGTTGCAATGCATTGCGTGGGTGTTTTGAAGAGGTGGAGCTTTTCCAGTCAGATAACTTACACTTTTAATGCTTCCGCCTCAGACTTGGAAGGAAACAAAGGTAGAGATAAAAAGACTAAGTTGTTTAGAGAATTGCTGATTGTGGCGCAATGGATGGTACCCACAATCCTAAGAAAACGTGTGCAGTATTTAATAATAATCCTTTTATTTGATATAGAGCTTTTCACATCTTCTCGATGTCGCAAAGCGCTTCATAGAATATGCTGTAAAGTGAATTGACTGTATATTTGTGGGCGAAACGCGGCAGACAATTGCGCACAGCAGTGTCCCACAAACAGTCGTGGATTGAAAATGACCAATTAATTATTGTTTTGTTTTGGAGGGATTATTATCATTATTATTATTACAACTCGGGAATCCCTTATTCAGTTAACTGATAATCCTGGCGTTTGATGTAGTGCCTCAGTATGTCAGCAAAACATCGCAAAGCGCTTTACAGGGTTTACTACAGGATAAAGTGTAATGATTGTGCATTATAGGCACACATGACAATTATGTTTAAAGTTTTTAGCACGATACCAAAGGGATTAGTGTGATGTTTGTTTTTGTTTTTTGGGTGTAAACCCCAGCTCTGGTCTGAAATGCTGTACTCTGTCCAGCGCTTGGACGTCCTCTCGACGTGAAAGGCGCTATACAAATGTAATCTTGTTGTTGGTGTTATGTTTGGGAGCTCATATTTACGTTTGTAACCCTCTTGGGTAGTACTGTGCGATAGAAATGATTCATCCAACACCAGAACGATAATCAGAACCAAGAGAATTTGGTCACGGATTCAGAGTGAACATTTCATCCAGTACAAATCATATTCTCCATTCATCCTCAGGTGTGCATTACACTAACCCTTGCATTTGGTATAGTGCCTTTCATGTTGGGAGCACCTCTCAAAGCCCTTCAAAGAATTTTACTTTTAAGCATACTGTGTAATTTAGGTGTAACACGGCAGTCAATTACACACAGTAATGTCCTGCAAACTGCAATGAATATTATTTGGGGGATTATTAGCCAGGACACCGGGAGAAACTCCCTTCTTTTCAAATCATGCCATGGGATCTTTAACGTCCTCTTTACCGTCCACTTAGTATCTCATCCAAAGGATGGGGTTTTACAGATAAACCAAACCCTCAACAGGGATGTAATGATGTCAACCTTATTGATGATTTATTTGGGACTAAAAGTTTTAAAGTTCTCGTTTTTTCTAAAAATTCTTTGTTGACACACCAGCTGTGGACCTCCTGGAGAAAATGTTGGTGTTAGATTCAGACAACCGATTGTCAGCAACTGAAGCTCTGAGTCATCCTTACTTTGAGCCTTACAGAGAACCAGGGGAAGAGACTGAATCTGAGCCCTTTGATGATTCTTTAGATCATCTGAAGCTGTCGGTTGATCAATGGAAAAGTAAGTGACAATTCAATGCCAAATGACCAATTACCCTTTCTCAAAATTATTTCCTACATTATGTTAACCAGGCAGTGACAACTTAGTTTTAATTTTGCTGTATGAAATATGTTTTTTAAGGCAAATTTTGAAATGCATCATGTAGTGAAAGTGTTTCCCAGAAGGTATATTTTAGGTAAAGCCGCAAGTCATTTGATTTTGAGAGAATTTTGATATATTGACTAATACTGAAAAATTCAGAAACGTGAGAGAATCTAAAGTAATTTACACTGCCAATAAAATTGCTAGAAATAGCAGTATATTTAATTAACATGTGTTAATCTGTGAAGAAGTCCTAAGAATTCCTTGGGACCAAAATCAACAAAATCTGCTTGGCTGCATCTTTCTCCACTTCCCCCACCACCCTTACCTTGTCCTCTTTAGCCACCTTTTCTCCTTTGACACTTTCTACCCTCAAGTTTTACATAACTCACCTACCACCACCTTGGGACGTCCTCCCGATGTGAAAGGCGCTCAATAAATGGAATCTTGTTGTTGTTGTTGTTGTTCTGATGTGAAAGGCACTGCGTAAATGTAAATTCTTATCTCGCACCCAATACTGCTGAAACTCTCATCATGCCTTTATCACCTCCAAACTCAACTTTTCAAACTCCCTCCTCCCTTGCTTCACCATAGACCAGCTCCAGATCATCCAAAGCTCCACCACGTGCATACTTTCTCATACAAAACTTTGCGTACCCCTCATTCCCTCCTGTTTCTCACCAGGTTCCAATGGCTTCCAACGATCAACTTCAAGGTCCTCGTCTACAGTCCCCCGCTCAGCAAATGTGTACCTGCTGTGCTTTCCTCTGTCTCGCCACCATTGGCCGCGGAGACTTTAGCCACTCTATTTTCACCTATCAAATATCCACCCTCTCCACCTGCTTTCAAAACCCACCCAAAACCTAGCTTTTCTACCATGCCTACAGCCACCTTCTTCTTCCCTCATGTTTGACGTCTGGCACCTTCTGCAAAGCACCCCCAAGACATTACTCAATATTAATCAAGGGCACAATACAAATACAAGATGTTGCAATAGTTTTCAAACTTAACCTCCACTGATTACAATTCTGGATGTATCCAGAACTGATCAAAATGCCAGAAAGAGTTGGTCAGTTTTTGTCATCTGTTTGGTTGGTGATGCACATGGTAAAAAGCTAATGTTTCCTAATTTTGTTTTTAGGGCACACCTTTCATGCAGTGATGAGCTTTATCCCTCTTTCATGTTTAGAGGCAAGACTGAAGGAGTCTTCATTCTAGCTCACTAACAGCACAAGCCAACCTTTGAGGTAATAACATTGGAATACTGGAGAGATGGGTAGTATTCTTGAAATTACTAATACATACATGAATGTGTAAAATAGTTTTTAAAAATATATTTTATTATCCCTACTTGATAAAATTAAGTTGTTACTCTATACATTGTTCTATGTAAATGCCAAACATTGTACAAATCTCTCTGTATTGCTTGTTTTCAGTGTTGAGAAATTATTTCAACCAAATGCTTCTGCTTCTAATTAAATTCCACTGACTAGAATATTATTGATGGCTTTGCAGTGACTTTCAAACTTTTAGCCTTTTAAAGCTGGAAGTGGCTGTTAGCATTTCACAAATGCTTGTTGCACATACAATGATTCTGAACTGGTACTGTACTTGGATGTTTATAAGGTGAAATATTTGAGTAATTTCCTTGTGCAAAAATACTGCAACCTTTTGCAACATTATACCTTCCTAAAATTGTTTACTATATAAATGGAGAAGTATTGCACACAGGAGCTACAGCAAATCAGAGAGTCCGACTTGCACATGTAATGTAACATACCACAATAAATTAGGTGCAAAATTTATGTGTCCTGTCCTACTTCAAGGACTCCATTTGTTATATTTTTAGATACTCAGCCATTATTTTATTCTTGAAGAAATGTTGTAGTTTTATTGTATTTTCCATAAACATTCATTACTTATTTTAATGTTTTCCTGTGTGATAAACAAATCATTGAAATGTTCTGCATGTTGCAAAACCATAATATTCTGACTGGACTATTGTATTAAAAATAGTTGTATTGCAGGTTGTTTCTGTTGTGGCCATCTTTGCTTGGATAGAATTGTGAAAACATAACTTTTAACCTTTGCCATTATTCTAAATAAAATGGGTAAAACACATTTCTGCACATCAGTAGTCATTAGTCTTAATTTTAAGCAAGAGCAAGCATATTATAATTTACCTAAACTACTTTAAAAAAACAATGTCCAAGTATTTAGATCAAGGCTAATATAAATTTAATTCTACCTATCTAACAAATTTCAAATAGAGCTTTGATATTTAGAAAAATAAAATTGTGAACGACTAAGCAATGATACAGAAATTTATTATAATTTGTCATGTTAACATCAACCACAGAATGTCCAATTTATGATGAAGTACACGTAATCGACAATATGCATTTTCATTCATTATCTGTATAATACTCTTGCTGATCCAGCTGTCCACACACTGCAGATACAAAACAATTTACATTTATTTAGCACATTACATGTCGGCATGACACTCAGAAAGTGCTGAGATAGTACAGTTAAATGCTTTCAGAAATAAGGAACTCAATTACATTATTCAATTATTATTTTTATTATTAATAATAATTACATCACCAGAAAGACACAAGGTTTCTAAAATAGAAATGTTGTGAAATGCCAGAAGTACAATTAGCAGATATTAAATTTATAACAGAATATAACAGAGGGAAAAGAGGATCAAATGCCCTATTTCCCATACTCCACAGATCCTATGACAAGACTGAAATCTGTTATTTAAAAAGAACAAGGCCAACTTGTGACAGCTGTATTTATTCTATTAGGATCAAAGCAGTTTCATGCAGCTTAGAACAGAGAAGAAAGCCTGATTTATACTTATTCCACACTGCTTAGAATCTGACCTGAAATACAAAAGTACAATTTTACTGGTCAACCAACTAGCTGTTTAATTTGGTAATTCATTGCATAATAATAATTGGAATGCTATTGAAACATTAATGTTATTTAAAACTATTATTTTTTAATAAGTTGTACATTGTTTTATTATGGAAAGTGGCTTGTGTTTGTAGTTTTTAGACATTTCTCCAACTTTAACATTACCCCTAACTTGATACATTTTGTGGAGTGAGTGTTTGATTACAAACACATAATCAAATAATGTAAATCTTATTAAAGTGAACCATTGTGTCTCGTGTCTACCATCTGACATAACAAAAAAGCTTCTTTTGATGGTAAATACACTGCAAAATAACAGTTTAACATATCTCTCTCTATCAGTGCACAATTCAGGAGGTTGGATTCCATGTAATCCAAGTAAAAGTTTAGATTTTCCGATTTCCTTACTTAGATTCTTTGGCTTTATAGTCACCAATAGCAGATGTGAGAAACATTGCTCACTTGCAGTTTGACTGTGTCTTTATCAACAATAACAACTTGCACTTACACAGCACCCACCACACAGGGCATCGTCTCAGAGCGCTTTATCAGTCATGTTGCCGGAGAAAATATTTATTCAAAATAAAAACAAAAAGGAATAGAATTACAAATTCAACTTGCTGTTGTTCTTCAATACAATTTTTTACTTCTACAAAACTATTTGCCATTATCTTGGGTCTTCCTGTTCAACAACTACAATGCAGCCAAATAAAACACATACATAATGATGTTAAGACAAGGCAGGAAATGTATAATTATACCTGTCAGTTTCACTCCTTTCATTTACAAGATTGATGTGTTGTTTCCTCAATAAGGAAACAAACATTATTAAATACTTGCAAAGAAATTAAAGTGTATTTCATCCAAACTGAATCAGGTTGTTCTACCCTTTTGATAGTTTTGCAAAATTCTAGGATGACTTTGCTCTGGGAAACGGGAAACTGAAAGAGTCTGGGGTAATGGATAAGACTGGCAAGATAAAGAGTACTTTATAGTGGAGTCCTGTGACTCAGTGGTTAGAGCACTCGCTTTGCAAGCGAGAGACCTGAGTTCAATTCCCGGCAGGTCAGGGCGAAACCTTGGGCAAGTTTCCCTACTCCACACAGAGCCTAATAATAATCCCTCCAATACCCCAAAAAAGTAATAAATTGGTCATTTTCAATCCACGACTGTTTGTGGGACATTGCTGTGCGCAATTGGCTACTGCGTTCGCCCACAAATATAGTCACTACACTTTAGTGTGTTCTGTGCAGCGCTTTGGGACGTCCTCCCGACGTGAAAAGTGCTATATCAAATGCAAGGATTATTATTATTATTACTGTGTTTCTTTGTCTTATCAGAGTAGTGCATCTATTAATGACATAACTGGATTTTTTGTTGATTGAATTCCATGTGATGCATTTTGTATTGTTAAGTTGATAATGGAATACTTAGTTTGTTGTGGTTCACTGCTGTGTTGATAGTGACATGCTGCTCCTTCTAGTACTGGCATAAGCATTGGAATATTATCATTTACCACTTTACCCCATTGTTTGATGCATTGGTGAACAATAGGAACTTGCTTCATAAAGAAAAGTGTAAACCTATTTTGTGGTATATTGCACCAAAACATTATATTCCTCATTAACCTCCTTTCATGACTATGGTGACTAATCCTGAAGGAAATAAATGACTCAATTTAATATTTTTGGAGTTCCATTATAGAGAAGTGTAGCACAACAATTACTATCCCGAAGTTCATAAAAGGGGCTGAGACAGGATTTGGGGGAAATTGAATACCTGTAGTTTATGGTGGTGTAAATGGTTAAACTGGCTTTGATGCTGGTTGTCAATATTGAAAAGCTATCTCAATTACACATTTCAATGAACCTCATATCAACCACCATAGGTAGTCCTGGGACTTGTTGGCATTCTTAAATGAATGCCAACTCAGGCATAGTGCACTCGGGCAGTTTTATTAAGTTGAATTTCTATACAGGTATTGTGAAATTATTTATTGCAAATAAAGGATCATCATCACAACATGGCACAAGAGTGGATTCTATGAATCTAGAATCTTGATCCAATTTAGAAAAATGCTTAGTGTGATTATTGTTATAAGGCTGTATTTACTTAATTCTCGAAGGCATTAATGTTCAACTGGTTTGCTGTTATTCTTCTCAGTTTACATCATCCATATTTGATTGTCTCCGAAGCATCATTGTGTTTGCTGACTTGGATGTCCTTGTGGACTCATAAAATGTAATTTGAGATGTTTCTCACATGAAATGTACTACATAATTAAGTTAATCAGGTAACTTAGTAGAAGGAATAATTTGGAGGTTGAACAAAAGTGCTACTTAATAATTTAATTGCATTATGCAAATATTTAGTTTGGATGTGGAAGGTTTCTAAATGGCTATTTTAGATTTTTTTAATGAAAAATTACCACTTATATTAACACATTTGCAACTTTTGCAGTAACATGGTTCCAAAGTTCAACAACCATTCTGTATGGCAACTATGGAAAAAACACTTGTCAATTAATAATCCTTGCATTTGATATAGCACCTTATCATGTCTTGCCTCAAAGCACTTTGCAGCACATACTGCGAAGTGGCGTGACTGTGTATTTTGCCTGAAATCCACATTAAGTGCAGGAATGGAAATATGTGAATTGTACCTTTTGTACTTTGTGAATTAGAATAGGATAAATTACCTGGTCAAACTAGATCAGTGATAAAGGGTTATCGTTTCAATGCAACTGGATAAGGAGAACGCACTTCAAGAGATTCAATTCACACGGGGATGATTTTTGTTGAGATTTTTACATAACTTGTTTATTGATTAGCGCACGAGGACTGGAAGATAAGACTGATTTGGCCATTAACCTAAACGCGAGTTCAACTCAAAACCCGGCAAGTGCGAAACGTGTTTACCCGTTGCCTTAGAAACTAATGACCGTAAACAAACTTTGCCAACAGCTTTTTGAAGTTGGCAAACCGTTCACTGGTGAAGAGGGGCCACTCGTTTAATTGGGTCGGGGGGACGGACGACAAACATCTACCCAATATTATGCCAAAAATAAGCTTGTGCTGAGCGGATTAAGGCGAATTGCAGTGGGTGTTTTGAGTTTGAGCATTTTTGACTTGTTCTAATGGGTCAACCGCCCTCACCCCCATTTTGCACGCACACAAACGAGCCTTCCCTTGGGCGGGGGATTATTTTTTTCCTTCTTCTCCCGCTTGCCTTGGCAGCGGTTGGCACGTACCCACCTCCAATGGCAGTTACATTCTGGGAAGCGCCTTTGAGATGGTCTGGAAGACGTGATGAGGCGCTATATCAAATGCAACGACGACGACGATTATTATTATTATTATTAACAACAACAACAAGAAGCAGCCACCCACCCACCCACCCTCGTGAGGGCTGCGTGTGTGTTGAGTTGGTAGTGGGAGGGAATGAAGACGCGACAGGCGAGAAAAAAAAACACGCACACACACACACACACACGCACCCCCGTCGAAGCAGGCGAGAGAAGAGCCGCAGGAAGATGGCGGGGAAGCGAGCGAGAGAGAGAAAGAGTTGACGACGATGGGAGTGAGGAGCCGAGCAGGTGCTTTTGAGGGGTGGGTGGTGGGGGGGGGGGGAGGTGTCAGTCGCTAATCCCATCCCGGTGGGTGCAGCCGAACAACCCCAGAGCATCGATCATCGCTCGCTCGACTCAAATAGCTAACCGACTGACTCGACTCACGGATCCTGTTGCTGTGGCTGGTAAATGGCGGCTGTGTGGCTGTGGCTGCTGCTGACTGACTGACTGGACTATTGCTGCCGCCGCCGCACGGGGTTTCCGCGTCTGCTCGGGTCGTGCGCAGGGGCGTGTCCGGTCTATGATTGAAAGCGTCTTTTTCTCCCCCCCCCCTCTCTCTCTCTCTTCCCCCCCCCCTCCTCCCTCCCCCCACCACCAACCCATCCACACCCCCCCCCACCACCCTCCCTCTCTCTCTCTCTCGCGCTCTCAACCCCCCACCTCACCACCACCCCACCCCCCCCCCCGCGCTTCTCTCTCGCTCCTCTTTACCAGCGGACGAGGGTCCGCGTTTACCTCAAAGCTTCGGTTAAAACATTATTGCTAACTTCTGCCAGACCAGACTCGCCGTCTCTGCTGTCGACGTCCCGTCTCTTCAACCAACCCCCCCACTCCACCCCATCCCCCCTCTCTCTCTCTCTCTCTCGCTCTCTCTGTCTCCTCCCGCACCCCCACCGCCAACACCACCCTTCACTCACTCCCCTCGCACCAATTCCTCGGGCGGGCGGGCGCACTATGAAGCGCTCCGACCGAAAAGGACGCACTCGGAGCCAACCGATCGCCGAGGATTAATAACAATTATCGTGCGCAGGGCAGCAGGGAGCGGGCGTGGGGGGGGCAGACTTGGCTCTCCCCCCGAACCCGTTTCGCACAGAACAAGGTAATGGCCGTTTCCCCCCCCTCCTCCTCCTCTTCTCTTATTTGAACGCGAGTTCTTTTTCTCTCGCTCTCTCTCTCTCTTAGTTTGGCTGTCTCTCTCTCGCTCTCTCTCTCTTTCCTCCTCCCACCCACCCGGGGTGCGCCGCTCGCGGGCGATAACGCGCTCCGGTCAGCCGTTAGAGGTCTGTCATTAATATGCGTTGTTATGGGCAAGAGCCGCCATCTTGTTCTCCTCCCGTCGACTCTCTCCGTCCAGCCGAACCACCCCGCCGGGGGGGGGGGGGGAAAGGGGCGTGAGTGTGTTGAAAGCCCCGCCCCCGCCGCGCTCCTATTGGCCGTTCGCGCTCTCGTGGGCGTCGGGGCGACGTCAGCGCCGCCGCCGATTGGCCGCCGGAGCAGTCGGTCATTCATCAATTCGCGCCGCGCGCTGGTGAGTGTCAGTTGGCGAGGGGGGGGGGGGGGCGGGGGCAGGGGGCAGGGACGGGCCGCCGTGCCAGCGAGGAAAAAAAGGTTCTGGAACATTCTCGGATCGAGGGGGTCGCCGACCGGGATCCCCGGGAGCCTGTTACCGGGCGGGGGAAAGGTGTTGGCGGGGGAGGGCGGGGTGGTGATGGTGGGGGGGGGGGGGGGGGGCGGTGTTGTGTTGTTGCGCTGGGGACGGGAGGGGAGGGGCGGTTCATTTCAAACACGCCCCGGGACAATGATTTGCTGCAGCGACGTCAGTTACCTTTTGGCCCCTCCCCCTCCTCCCACGCTCCTCCTCCTCCCGCCCCCTCCCCCGCTTGTTCTACGTCATCGAACAGCTGAGCTCAGCGATCGGTGAAGACATGTGGACCAGAGGCGCCCCCTCCCCCCCCCCCCCCCTTCCCCTCCTCTCTCTCTCTCTCTCTCTCCCCCTATCCACACACACACACACAGAGTTACCCCCACCCCACCGACAGGGTTATCCTGCACACTGAGCAAAGAGCACCGCGTCCTCTCCCCCCAGTTCAGGCCACGTCCGCACTTTAGATGACGATGATAATAATTCGGTCAATCCCCGAGCGTCTGTGGGGGGGAGGGAGCGCTGCTGTGCGCAGTCGTCCGCCGCGTTTCGCCCGCGAAACACGCAATCGATTCGCTCCCCGGTGTGTTCTGCGAAGCCCTTCGAGGCGTCTCGAAGACGCGATGAGGCGCTGTATCCAATGCAAGGATTATTATTATTATTATTATTCTTTAGCAACCCGAAGGCAAAAAGAAGCTCAACTTTTGGAAGGAGCTGTTTTGTTTGTGTTTGTGTACTGTCACGCAAACAGTTTTGTGTTTCGTGCTTGATAACCTACTTTCCCCATGTTTCCTCCCCCCCCCCCACCCACCCACCCCATCCTTTAAATATTTGGGTATACAATTTTTTGTACATTTTCTCACAGCTGAGCTCAGGTAAACAATGGCATATAGTAGGTAGGTTTCCAATGTGTGTGTATATATATACACACACAATCGATTTTGCTGTTGTGATTCTTGTTGATTGATTGGAAAAATGACCAGGTTTAATGAATATTCTTAGCTGGCGACTAAAAAAATTGTTGTGAAATAATTCAATCGTTCTTTCGATAAACTACAATATTGAAATCGCATATTAGCAGAGCGTCTGGTTTACTGCCTCTCTGTTCCTTTAGCCTTAGGAAAAGAAAATAATTTGCATTAAGTAGTGGACAATAATCTCAATATTAAAAAAAAGTTGCACTTACAAAAATCTAACTTCAAAGTAAAGAACAACATCGATCCTATTTTAAAATTTCTGAATATAAATTTCTGTTCACTCACCCAAATAAAACTTGCAATCTTCTGATGTGAACAATTGAATGTCTAATTTACAGAAATATGGTTCAAATAACTCATGTTGTAGTACTTAAAGTTTACTGTGCATATCATGGACATATATTACTTTCATGTGATATATGGTTATAAAATAAAGGAATAGTATTGAGAGAACCTAAAATTAAAATTTTAATGATAATCTAACAAGAAGAGTTCTCAATTATGTAGCATGACCATAATTATTTTTTTTAGTTTGGAAGCAATATTCCGAGAGCTAGATAGCATCCCACTTAATTGTAAAAGGGATTGTATCATACACCATAATTGTGTGACAAAAAAAAATTGTTGAGTTGCAAGAATTTATTTACTGTAAAACAATTTGTATGTAATAAAAATAATAATAATAATTACCCTTGCCCTTCAGTTTGATATGTCAAATTTAATAAAGATTCAACTAATTTGTATAAATGGGTTTCTGAAATGCTGTAATAAATCTAGTTTTGAGTAAACTGGTAACTGTTCAGAGCAGCAACAAATTGCATTTGTCTCTCCCTTTTAATGTCGGGTGGACGTCCCAAGGAGCAGTACGCCTGCTGCTGCTAGATGAGAGAAAAAACATACGCCCATCATTTACCCGCTTACGAAAGATGTCTAGCCTTATCTGAATGGCTAATATAGTATTTAGATCCCCTAGTTCAGCCACAGCAATTAGTTAAGTAACCTTTATGTGTAATAATCATATCTTGAGCATTTTAAAATTCTGAATCTGCCACTGTTATCTCAATGCAAGTGGAACAAGCCCAGTTTTGCATTATCCTTTTAATGTAACATTTTGAATTCTGGAATGATTTGTGACTCTTTGAACTTGCTCTAAATTAACTTACTTAACCTTGCAGTCAAATACTTTTGCAATCAAAGGCCTGATATAACTTACTGGCATCTTATTTTGTTTTTCAAAAGTATCTACATTGTCTTTTCACACTTGTGGGTTCTTGTGGAATCTTGTGATATTTGGATTAATCTAACCGATTGTATGAATATGAACCGCTGGTGAGAGTTACCCAACCAGTTTTTAAAAAGTGCTCATCGTGGAATAAATTGGGCACAATACTTGCAATATTAGCAGAACAAATAGAATTTCAAATGGGCTAGTATGAACTTACTTTTGTAATAGTGATTGATGATAATCCGTACATTGGTAATAGTGCATTTCAATGTCATCAAAACATCTTGAAGCGCTTCACAGAATTTCCTGTAAAGTGTAGTGACTGTGTGTAGACAAATACTTTTCCTTGGTACCTGTGATGATGGAATAGACTGGGATAGAGTGCAATGAATATGGCTTTGGGATGTCCTGCTGGCATGAAATTTGTTGTTGTATTTGCATTAAGGATGAGTAGTAAATGCTCGTCCTCCCTAGTGGTACACACGTCTGACTGTGTTCTTATTTTAAAGAAAAAAATACCATGCTCAGCAGTTAAAAGAATACAATGATTTAACTCTAGGCATTTTCCTTTTAATATTGTATTCTTTACCAGGTTGATAAAATTCAAAACTCAGTAGAACAATATAGAAAATGACCTTTGGAGAATGGATTTCTCGCACATTATATAAGACCAGGTTCATTTACGTTTTAAATGTAACTTGATCTGTTTAAAGGGATGCATTGCATTCATTCAGTAGTAACTGTGTTGTTAAATAATAGTGACGTGTCTAATGACAGTTGTTTCTATTCTGATTGTGCTTTTACTGCTTCACAGATTGCACACATATGATGAGAAAACCCAGGAGGAGGATGAGAAATAGTTGTGGTAGACGTTCTCCATCCCCTTATGGACTTAAATGTTCACCAAGCAGAGAAACGCTGACATACGCTCAAGCGCAACGGATGGTTGAGGTGGATATTGATGGCAGACTACACAGGATTAGCATATTTGATACTTTAAAGATCATCACCGAGGATGACTTGACTGCTCAAGAAATTACAGAATGTAATAGTAACAAAGAAAACAGTGAACAGCCTCTTTTCCCTTCAAAGTCTAAAAAGACAGTGATGTGCAAAGACAAAAGGAAAGAATCTGCTTCGAAACATGCAGCTGGAGCATCTGTTGAATTACCTCAACCTTCTTTTAGAATCATTGAATATAACCCTCCCGATGCCCCACCCCTACCTTCAGCATATTACAGGTATATTGAAAAATCAGTGGAAGAACTGGATGGTGAAATTGAGTATGATATGGACGAGGAGGATTATGCGTGGCTAGAAATGATCAATGAAAAGCGCAGAAGTGTTGCGCTTGGCACAGTGTCGCAAGAGACATTTGAGTGCCTTATGGACAAGCTGGAAAAGGAATCTTACTTTGAAAGCAGGAATAAAGGTGATCCTCAAACTTTAATCGATGAAGATGCAGTTTGCTGCATTTGTATGGACGGCGAATGTCAGAATAGCAACGTGATCCTGTTTTGTGATATCTGTAACCTTGCTGTACATCAGGAGTGCTATGGAGTGCCATATATTCCAGAGGGACAGTGGCTTTGCCGATGCTGCTTGCAGTCTCCTTCCAGGCCTGTTGATTGCGCCTTGTGTCCAAACAATGGTGGTGCTTTTAAACAGACAGACGATGGTCGATGGGCTCACGTAGTTTGTGCTCTGTGGATACCAGAGGTGTGCTTTGCTAATACTGTGTTCTTAGAGCCCATAGACAGCATAGATAACATTCCTTCTGCGAGGTGGAAACTTGTTTGCTATATTTGCAAGCAGAAAGGCGCTGGAGCATCCATCCAGTGCCACAAAGCTAACTGTTACACAGCATTCCACGTGACCTGTGCTCAGCGGACTGGTTTGTACATGAAAATGGAACCAGTGCGAGAAACTAGTGCCAATGGGACAACTTTCAGTGTGCGAAAGACAGCGTATTGTGATATTCATTCCCCACCGGGGTCAGTAAAAAAGATTGTTGGGTTAAGTGACAATGACGGTGAGGAAGAAGACCAAGGCAAAGATGATGTTCGAGATGGAGATAGTCCAAGGAAAACATCGCCTAAAAAGACCAAAGTAAAATCTAAACAAAAGACAAAAAAAATCAGAAACTTTCTTGAAGAACGCCGCGCAGCAGTGCCAGTGGTGACTGTACCACAGATACCGACTCACAGGTGAGTCTTTTGGAATAAGCGATGACTATTGAAGAGGTCGTAACAGTTTATTTTGTTCTAACAAGATGCCATATAGCATAAGTTACTTTTTTTTAAAAACAATAGGAAAAACAGTCAATCATCCTGTTTTAAAGGTGTAAAATAGTTTGTGACACGTTTGTGTACAGGTTTTCCTTCAGATCATGTTTTTCAGATTCCAGAAATGTGGGCTTATTGCTGGTTATGTCCATAAAATCGATTTGAAAATTGCCTCATATTTTCCTCATGTGAGCTCAGGTGATCAGTTGTCATTTCTTTGAGAAGTACCATTCGCTACTGGACTCTTTACTTCCTTCTACATTGAATTGTACTGAAGGATGAAAAACTGAGGTTTCACCCCAGTAATATTGCAGTTTCATTCTGCTTCCAAAGGTATATGAAGTGTGTGGGGATGATGCTTCCCCTTCAAGAGCTCGGCCCACTAATCATTTGGATTTGGAGCTGTTTCTGGTTTCCCAAAAGTACAAGGTTTTTGTTATTTTCTGGTACAGCGTCTTCAATTTCAACTGACTAACCTGAAAAAGGAAATTCCCTGTTGTTTTACTAATACCAGATTAGCTCTTTTGCTGTATGCCTCACTGTATACTAAAGTTAATTTTCCACCTGATAAAACTTTTATCTCAAACACTGGTAAGGAAACTTTTCTTTAATGATAAGAAAGGTGTGCCAGTGGAATCTTAAGGCTTGCTGTTGACAGACCTTTTATTCCCCTAAGACACTTCTCGTACTAATCATTATCCCAGAAGAAATCAGATTCATTATTAGCAATTCTTAGTGCATTTCAGCTCATTAAAGAGGCTGCTTTTTGACTCAACATATTGTTTCTTGTGCTAGTTTTGAGAAAAACAACAACAACAAAAAACTTGCACTTATATAGCATCCTCCACGCAGGGTAACGTCTCTGAGCATTTGAGTGCTTTTGAGAAAAATCCGTTTTGTACCATCACTGTCTGTTTCACAGTTAGTGTCCAGTATTCCCTCTGGCATCCGTTAATTGTATTTTGCAACTGGCAATGAAGACTTAAAGGCCTATAGCCAATATTTTCTGTCTTTGGTTAGGATGATTAATGGATCAAGGCACCGGCTGAGCTGACCATCTCCAGATTGTACAATCACCTCTTGCCAAAAATTTGGGCTTCCAGTAACTTTTTACATTTTCTGATTCCTACTTGTATCCTGTATATCGTGCTCTAAGACCTGCAGTATTAGTTTCTATATTTAGGTTTGATTTCTAGATGGTACATGATACAAATGTTCAGCTGCGCAGCCATGAAACCTTATAATAATAATAATAATCCTTGCATTTGATATAGCGCCTCATCACGTCTTCAAGACGTCTCACAGAACATACTGTAAAGTGAATTGACTATATTTTGTGGGCGAAAAGTGTTGTTATCACATTGTTTCAAAAAAGTTGGCAAACGCATTGCTTAGTACCATTTGTGAGATTGTTCCTTCCTATGCTATCCTCATTTTCCTCATGTCTTACACAACTGATATCTCTAACATAGGGATGGACGTTGAGATGCTGTGCATATGCAGATCAGAACCTGCCTTTTTTTGTAAGATGTAGTTCTTTGAATCTAATGGCATGTTACGAAATAGGGTTAAAAGTCTTGAGTTCTGCTAAGAGTTCTGTTTCTACTACTGTTCATGTCTTGTCTGTTTGCTGAGCTTACCATTAATCAGGACATTTCATCCCAGCTACTCTCCTTTTCCGATTTGTTTGTCCTGCATCAGCTTGTGTGTCTCTCTTGCAATCTTACCCCTTGTATTTCTTGTTTTCCTTCTTCCTCATTTTGCTTTATTTTTAGATCTAAAAAACTATGGATACCCCAAACGAGAGGTAAGCTCTCAATGCCATTGACTTGATGGACTATAGCAGCAAAACGATTAAATTGTTAACTGTCCTGTTGCTATAATATAGGACATTAAAAAAAGTTCTAATCTGACAATGAAGACAGAAACTTTTTTTGCAGTATAAAAAGAATACACATTGAATTGTTCTGATGTGTAGAAAGTAAGCTATTTGTAGTGTGGTCAGCGTGATAAAAGTTTCAGGCTAGTTCTGTAGACTGTACAATCAGTCTTCTCCATTATTGGATCTGGTAACATATTGGGTTAAGTTTTCAAACTCAGCAAAGATATTGCCTCTCTCTTAAGGTGCTTGAATTCTGTAGATATCTGGTGGGTGACTTCCATTTTAACCATGCTGCTGTTTGAGCCAGCTGTACTTAATAACTGATGCCTTTATAAAAAAATGTTTTGCTTCTTGCAATATTGCCTCTTCCATTATTGTTGAGTTACTAAGTCCTGAACTGATTTTTTAAAAATGTTCCCTCTATCCAACTAAATAAAACTAGACTGATTTTTTTAAAATTGTTGAAAATATATAAATATTTTTTAAGTACTTCTTCCTACACAACGCAGGCACCATGTGTCCGGAAGCAGCAGATCAGTAGAGTTTTCAGTGACAACAGGACATCAAACAGGGCTCATCTGCATTTCAAAGAAGAAAAGGGAAGGAAAGCAAGAATAAAAGTTAGATTTATAAGTTCACAGACAAATCATGTACAAATAAGCAAAGGAATTTAAAGGGGGTGGCATTGGAGAGAGAAAAAGTCAGTTTACTTAGAACCATCTCACAAACCAATTGCAATTGTGAATACAAATCTTTTCGGATTACGATAACTGTCAAAAAGGCTTAAGAAATTTCTGGATTGAGCTGTATGCAAGAATTGTTCATGGTCTGTTATTCTGTTTGTAGTTGATCAGTTTCTCTATCATTCCTGTAATTGTGGTATGGGAAGCTTGCCAAAGTGCATGAAGAATTACGGATCTGATTGTTGAAGGAATATTATCCTGATAATAATTCTGTCTCTTAAATGAGATTGGCAAAGTAATCGTTAAAGCATGGAGTGAAAGAAATTAAAACTCCCAAGAATCTTAAAGAATTTGACCAAAACAAAGTTCAACTCCCAGATAATAATAATAATAATTCTTGCATTTGATATGGTGCCTTATCACATCTTCGAGATGTCTCAAAGCGCTTCACAGAATATACTGTAAAGTGAATTGACTGTATATTTTGTGGATGAAACTAGGACAACAACAACTTGCATTTATATAGTGCCCCTCACGCAGGGTAAGGTCCCAGAGCACTTGATAGTGGCGGAGCACACCGCTAAGCCTAGGAGAGGGTGAGGAAACCAGGGCACGAGGGACATGCAGAAGGCCGGAGCCAGTCGAGCGGAGGCAGCGGATTGATGGGTAAGCAGATCAGAGAGGTAGGCACACCTGCACATTATTTTGCCCACAAAATATACAGTCAATTCACTTTACATTCTGTGAAGATTCCGTGAAGCCCTTTGAGATGTCTCGAAGACGTGATAAGGCGCTATATCAAATACAAGGATCATTATTCTTATTATTGTTATCATAATCAGTGAAGGAATGGCAGATTCTGATAGTGTTCTGTTGAAACAAAGAGTCACTTAGTGGAAGAATGATTTTGAAAAGGTTGCGACTATTTTTCAAGTTTTGTTATCAGAACATTTGAGCGTTTTTTGTTTGAATACCTGTCAGTGAAAAACTCTCTATCAGAGATTGGGAATATTTATGTTAAGTAATATTCCTTTCAGGATCTTCTGGGTATTTTAGAAGGATTTGCCTTCTAATTCTATAGAACCAGGTTTCTATATTCAGAGGCTCTCATAAGGCATGTAAATAGTATATTTTGTAGCAGAAAATAAGAATTGTATTATTACAATTTAATTTACTCTGCTTTGTTTAAAAAAAACTTTCTTTTTGCATGCTTTAACCCCCACAAAAGTGATATTTAGAACTAAGTTGCTGCAACTGGTTCCCTCAAATTATGCCATCAGTATGCCATCTGTATTTTAAAAAATACTGGTTAATAAAGAAAATAAAAAGAAACAGGACGAAGATGTTAAACGATTCTTTGCATTTTAAGGTACATGTTTTTCTTCATGTACATGTTTTTCTTTGTGTTTCGCCCATAATATATGTATTATGGGCAAAAACTCAATAAGACGCTATATCAAATGCTAGGATTCATATTATTTTGTACTTCAGTTAGTTTCTTAAATAGAAATGTCATTGAAACATCACTGTATATAGGTTTCACAACTTAAAGTAGCTATTGGGGCAATGGTAATTTTACAGCGGGAATTATAAAATCTTCATGGTTGAATAAATAAATAAATGGTCATGAGGAGTGTGAAAATCATTGAGGATTTGGTGGGAAATAAAGTACGTTTCTTTAATAAAATGTTCTCAAATCAAGCATTAGTGTCATTTTTGTGTATTACCTTCAAAGTTCTGTTTTCATATCCTGAAGTTATGCTAATAGCTGTTGGATTGGTCACGGAAGAATGAAGATAATGGGATATCTCTTAGTTTGCAAACTGAGATCTGCAGAAGAACATATGGATCTATATGGGGGAGATAAAACCCATCAGACACATCAAAAATAAATGAGGCAAATTATTTTGGGGGAAATTTTATGTTTGGTTAAAAGTTCTCACTATATTTAAAAAAAGTAAATTCATCAGTTCATTTATTTATTACCCATATGTTATGGAAAATGAGTTGAAGCGAGTTTTAAGTGTCATGTTATTTATATTCATCTTATAACTCTGGCCTAATTCTTTCTACCCCTTGCATCAAACTGCACCCTCTTTGTCCCACATTATGCCATAAGTGTGAAAGAATGCTTAGGGCTGTGTTTAAATTTAGCATGCATGTGTGTGAGAATTAAATCTGTTTAGTTGAAGTTCCATTAGAAATCTGTCAAAATCGTAATGTATTTTAAGAACAATTTTGACAGATTTCCATAACTTACACCTAGGGAATTCTTATTAATCATTTAGCCTTTCCATGTAAATGCTGCACCTACAAAACTATATCATCTGCATTAACTTGGGCTATGGTCAAAATCCTCTGATTTACCCTCTTGCGTTAATACCATGAGGAAAAATTAACGTAAAATTTGGAGAAATCAGAACTGCATTGATTTTCATCCTTGCAACTGTCCTGCTCACAGTCGGCAAGCATACGTTGAAACGGCTAGAAGACGTGAAAATCGCTAAATCGTGCAAGGAATATTAATAATACTTATTAGTATACCTGGAAACAAAGTGATCTCAAGTTGAAAATTTTGTTTGTATTCCTGGTTTTCTGTTAAGATAAGGCAGCATTTGGGAAAATTAGTTTGCATAAGGCTACATTCATCTGGGAATGCCCCCCCCCCCCCCCCGGCCAGAACATTGCCTAAATGAAGCTTCATTGTAGTATTTGTTGCTGTATGATTCACGTGACACAAGGGGCTGCCAGAGGATGGCAGTAAGACTTTACCCCTAGTGTTAAGCGTTATGGGGTATTACATGAAGAAAGAGTAGGTAATAGGACTTCAGAGTCGAAATGCAAAGTTCCCTTCCCCCAGGCTCCCACACGATAATAGTTACAAAATTCTTGCTCTATTAGGAGTTCTGCAGTTTTATTCACAGTAATATTACTCCCACAAGTGAGAGACCTGGCTTTGATTCCCTGCAGGACAAAATATTGGGCAAGTTTCCTTACTCCACACGCCTCTATTTACCTCGCAGTAAGTAGAAACCTGGTTGTTTCGCCCGCAAAAATATACAGTCAATTCACTTTACAGATGTTAAAGATGCTTTGAGACATCTCAAAGACGTGATAAGGCGCTATATCAAATGGAAGGATTATTATTATTATCTGGGAGTTGAATTTGATTCAGTCAGATTCTTTAAGATTCCTGGGGTTTTAATTTCTTTCACTCTCATGTTTTAACGTTTACTTTGCCAATCTCATTTAAGAGACCATTATTATCAGGATTAAGCACTAAAGATTAGTGAACTGCATGTATTGGTGGCAGATCCACCTCATCTTGTTTGGAATGTTGTAAAGGCAGGTCTCCCCATTTTCTGGGTATCCTAAAGTGTCATTTAGAGTTTCACTTGTCTCAGGAAATCGCAATGCTGTGGTTTTATCCAAAACTTTTTACATTTACCTGAAAGTATCATCTGGTAGGTAAAGCAGGGACCGACTTGAAGATGCCAGTACTACGATTCCTACCACCAGTTCTCATTTTTTTAATGTGGATGTTGAATGAAAAATGTTATTTGTTTCCTCTCCCTTTCTATTCTATGGCTTGAAGCGGCTCATAACAATGCGGCCTTCCTATAGAATTCTAGCATTGCTACACTTACTTGTCTCAGTGGTGCTAGTATTATCGTCCATAACAACAGCATGACTGACTGCACCACCCATGTAAAACGTGAATTTCTTAAATAAGTAAGTATCTTTAGGTGAATATCTTTACTACGATTTCAACATCCTATTTGTAAGTAGATGTTAAGCATCTTTCAAAGAATGAAGATCATGCCTATGGTATTTATATTCTAGAAGTAAAGAGCACATCATTTCAGGGCTTGTGCAATTTACATTTGTGCAAGACATGAGACATTACAGAAGATCAAGTGAAGAGCTGCAGATGTTTTAAGTGATGTGATGCTGACAGGCAGTTATTTTCCACTTTCACAACCTTTCCAATGATATGTGGAACAGATTAAGGCTTCAAGCTTATAATTAAAAAGTAGTTTGGATTCTAATGGGGGGAGGGCAAATCGTTTGCCTATATTTTCCCTCGCTATTTTAAAAATGTACATTGATATGATGTAAAAATGTTTTTACATGCTACTGTATTTCTGTTATATTTTCTTGGTCACGTCACTGTTTCTAACTTGCCTGACTCTTGCCTTGCCTCAAATACATGCATGTTAAGTAACCAAGGAGACAGGGGATAAAACAGCAAGATGTACCAGAAGAGTTTAAAAAAGCGTCAAAAAATACTGGACACTTACCTTAGTACTGAAATGTACCACACAATCTATATATAGTCATTTTGTAATGTTGTGCATCCCTTTGTTTCTCAACAGGTTAAATAAAATCTGCAGTCGGCTGTCTATTCAAAGGAAAACCCAGTTTATGCAAAGGCTGCACAATTACTGGATATTGAAACGGCAGTCACGCAATGGTGTTCCCCTCCTGCGACGATTACATTCACATTTACAGTCGCACAGAAACGCAGAGCAGGTAAAATCAACGCAAAACTTTTACTAACTTCCCTTGGTACTTTAGAAGCTTGTAAATGACAGGCACTATTTTAATGCAATCCAGATAGGAAGTAAGTGGTAGTCGTATTAGTATGGATGCTATGGGATTTGGAAATCAGCCTTCAATCTAGTATGTTATTTGTCTGCCAGTTCTTTGTTTTTAATCTAATTTGTTGCCCTGAGGCTATTTGCATGACTTTGCTGTGTTATCGTTTAGCCCGTTTCAATATTCCAATCATGGAAATAAAATAAAAGTGTGTCATCAGTATGAGTGAGCTACTAATGCTGACTTGTATTCTATTCATACTTATCATTCACAATTTGTTTCAGAAGCAGTTCAATAATGGTAATTTTTTGATGAACTGGTGAAGTTGCCAACAAATTATAAGTAAGCAGCTTGGAGGTGCTCACATGGGAATGCTATGTTGAAGAGACCGAAAATTGAAGATGAAAAGTATGAATTGAATGCCTGTTCAGAGGGCAGTATAGTCTTTTATTTCAAAGGTCTTTGTGTTCAGTGCTCAGCTTAGTGTTGCAGTCAAAGCTGGATTTACTAGTGGCACTTATTGCCAATAATGAATTTGTAGCATAGGCAGGAGGTTTGCATTTTTTTCGTTGTGGCCATTGTGGGATTTGACTCCTTCTGTGGGTAAATTGTGGCTTTGGCAAGGTTTTAGAGAAAGGCTCACCAATACAATTGGGGTTGTATTTAACTTAAAAACACTGTTGCCAGAAGTTGAATGAAGGTGTAAATCTAGCAGTATAACAAACAATTTTTTTGTTAATGTGTTAGTATTCCGAGATATGTTCTTTTAACAGTAGATCATTTTACAGGCTGATTTCAAAATCTATCCGCGTATAATAAAGCAACAGTCACTCTTAAGATGTTTTCTTTAGTCCTGTTTTCAAAAAGCGTTCCTACAAAATTTCAGCCTTGTTTGGATGAAATTATTTTCTCATCCTTTTTTCTGATGTTTAAGTTTGTGTGTTCTACCTCTGGAGTTAAGGAGAATGCAAAAATAAACTCATAAAATATACAGTCAGTTCACTTTACAGTATATCCTGTGAAGTGCTTTGAGAGTCTCGGAAGACATGGTAAGGCACTATATCAAATGGAAGGATTATTATTATTATAAAGTAGAATTGTAATTGCCTGCCTTGGCAGTTAACCACGACACCAACACATTGAAATTGAGAGAATTAATGGTTAAAATCTTTCTACTGGGCTCAGTACATTGTTAGCGTTGCTGCTGTTGCTTTGGAAGGTGTACCTGTGTCACACGATGACCTGAAAACCAAACAGTGCATTTTAGCTCTCATTCTTGTCAATTTGTTGTATTGGGTTTCATCAGATGTACTTCCCAGAGTGGTAACCCTCTGTTCTCAGTTGCTATCTTTTAATTATGTTGCTGCTGTGTTCGTTTGTTTAATGTCCTTTTTTGTTAACTTCACAGAAGGAACAGGATGAAAAGAACAGTGCAGTAAAAGAACAATTGAAATACTGGCAAAAACTGAGGCACGATTTGGAAAGAGCTCGTCTGCTTGTGGAACTTATTCGCAAGAGAGAGAAGCTCAAGAGAGAAGAGGTAACAGCTTTATTTTTACATGTTGGGTTATTAAAAGAGCCGTAAGAGCTAACTTACTTCAGCTTTGGTGATGGCAGAATCCCTACTAATGTGATTATACCACCAGTAACGTTTTTGGTAAAGTGACATAAATTTAACATGGAAATGAGTATCATTTCTTTTACCCGACCACAGAAGTTGCACATGGGTGTGAACTGCACAGTCAAGTACAGTGGCCAGATTTTGTATGGTTCAAGAATGCCACTTGCCTTCACATAATATCATCTTCTTTCCTCTCCTAGTTCTAGAGTTTGTTACTGGTAATAATAATTATTATTATTATTATTATTATTATTGTTACTGGTAGACATTTAAGCGTACGGTAATATTTGTGTTCCCCAAGCTATTAACGGCCAAAGTTTGTTTGGTCACAGTGACCTTTTACTTTCCCCCAGTCTGAATGTGAATCTTGCTTTCTCCTGGCCTTTAATTCCTTGCAACCCAGAGTTTTGATGTAGATCATGATGTTTTAGCCAGCAAAACTCTGGGTAGGTATCCCAAGAATAATGCTGGTTACATTTGTTTTAGTCCTCCTAGCATATAGCTGTTAACGTACATCTATCAAAATGGTTTGGACATTTAATTTAGGGATTTTACTGAAGTTGATGTATCTCTGATTTATTGATTCGTAGTGTGACACATGTTAGATCTTCTTTGAGTCGTGGTTACAATTTATTTTTCTTTTCATCCCCCAAACATAAGAATTCATTCCATAATTCACTAGCGTTCATGCCATACAGGTCATGCTGCCAATTAACATGACTTTGAGAAATGGGAGTTCAGAGAGCAACTCCTCAAATTCTTTTGCACTATGCCACGTTTCTAAACAGAATTATACATTGCGGTTGCTGAAATGTAGACTATTGTTTCCGTGCATGGAGCAGACCTGTTGCTAAATGGATTGCAGCTGAATCATTTTGGACAACATGAGGGGAATATCGCTGCAGCAGTTCACTGTTCAGGTGCAGACAGTCTCTCCTCACAACATCTACAGATGCAACAACAGCAGCAAAATTACATTTGCATAGCGCCTTTCACGTCGGGAGGATGGCTAGGCTGCTTGTGCTGGTAATCTGTAAGCAACTCTTAAAAAATGTAAAAATGATTTTAGGGAATCGATATCCATTATCATTTTAAAGTGTAATGGAAACTTCTTTCCTAATTTAAGTTTTTTAAAAAAAAACTCTTTCTACCCCATTAAAAACAAATGTGGAAAACCTGCTTTCAAATTAAGACAGAAAATGTATCTTATATTTTAAGACGGTGAGGATTGCCAGACCTTTGACGTTTTCTATCTCGCTCACCCATCTAGAACTCGAGGACTATAGTCCTATGGCCATTAAGCTATTATGCTATTTTTTTGAAAAAATTACTTTCAAACTCTCATCAGTGTTTTCTGCAATAATTTGATCTGGTTGAGCTAGGGGGCTTTCAGAAAGGTTTCACATCATCTGCAACAGACCATCTATTACATAAAATTTTAGGATTAGCCATCACAGCAAAATGGGAAATTTGCAAGGAACAAATATTTTGAGACCACTTAGATTCCACACAAAACTGAACGCTGAAATGCACTTAATTGTGTTGTTTATGCCTCTGCTGTACTTATATTAAGCGATAATTATATTGTGATTGAATTGGGATTTCCATGCCTCAAATGTCCCTAGTCAATCAAGAGATAATCATTGCTTAATTCATAACCACGTAAACAATACAATTAAAGCAAACCCAAGATTAAGCAATAATAAAGCAGCATAACAAAGCAGTACTGCACCTGGACTAAATTAATCTGAGATACTCCTTTCCTTGCCAGATGATTATTCTTGCTCAAGATCATTTCCTGGAGGCAATGCTATATTATAAATCTAATGGAGCCATTAGCATGCTCTTGCCAGTACTGTTTATTAGATCCCGCAAAGCAATGGGATATTAAATAAATATTACCCCCCAAATTTCATTTTTTATATAGTTACTTTGAACAAATTTAGTACAAATACACTGTGTAGAGAGATATAGCACCACTTTTCATAAAATGTACTCTCTACAGTCATTTTCCCAATTAGTGTTTTCTTACTATATTTTCACTCCCTGTATATGTGACTGTACCATGAAAATTTAAGCATGATTGAGTAGGAATGCATACACCAATGTATTTGCATCTGCATTGATTGATCACATGAACAACACTGGATCACCAATTAAAGTTGGAAATTATAGGGAAACCTATACCAACCTTCTACCAACCTACCCTCTCCCTCTGCTCGGCAGGCACTGGCCTGCTTCATGTCCCCTATCCTCCCCATCCCACCATCAGTACTGGGACCTTCAGCCTTTCTGCCCCACTCTGTGGAACTCCCACCTTGGAATCCCTTTGCCTTGCCTTGCCTCTTTCAAAGACCATCTGAAGATTCAAGACTTTCCTCTTTGACCGTGCCTTCAGTCATCTTCCCACCTCTACTCCCAACTCTCCCAAATCCAACCCCCAGCTTGGACGCAAACTTCTGACTGTCCAGAACCTAGTGATGTCCTCCCAACGTGAAAGGCGCTATATAAATGCAATTGGTTGTTGTTGAAACCTTGTTATTTCCAGGTTCAATGTCTCACTACCTACCTTATAAAGACATGTTCAAAAGTAGCTGAACTCTGGTTTATTAGGTAGCTGCTGACATAATGTCTGTCCTGCGTGCGTGCGTGCATACATAGGAAGCGTGGCTGACGTCATTTCTCTTGCAAAGTGATGTAAGCGGTACTTCCTAGTTAGAGCACACCTGCACATCACAAAGTTGCGTTTGTGGCGACCTGGAAGTCAGGGCGTTTTTTTTGGGTGTAGTTAACACGCTAAGAGAGCCTGCTTTTTGGTACTTGAGAGGATGAAGCGTGTTCTTTCACAAAACTCCAAGAGAGAAGTGTTGCCAAGTAAATATCTAGAAGTAAGCCTTATTATAATTCCTTCACCACTAACATACTATGAATGAATTATTCTCCAGGTCAAAGTGCAGCAAGTTGCCTTGGAGTTGCAGCTTACCCCCTTTATTGTCTTTTTAAGACAAATTTTGGATCAACTTCAGGACAAAGATCAAGCAAATATATTTGCACAACCGGTAAACCTCAAAGAGGTAAGGCCTATTTAGCCAGGATGCAAGTAATATATATTATATCATGTAATGACTTTGCATATTTTATATGAAATGCTTTATTTTTCATATTTTTAAACGTTTGGTAATTACCAACATTGCAATTCAAGCAAAAAAATTATTCACCAGGTAAAGAGGGAAGCATGGGATAATTTTGTAATTTGTAATCTTTACATCAGAAAACCATTAATATAGGCAAAGGTAATCTCATCAACGAATCAATAAGAATTATAACAGAATAAGTTCAACCAGATATAGTCATAATGGCAACACATCTCTTCAGGAGATACGGTTGGAATATAAGAATCAACAGAAATGGATAGAACATAGAAGATGTTACACAAGATATTTTGAGAATTCTTTAATGTATAGGGTTTGGGAATGGGGTTGTAGGATGGGAGGGAGTTTCTTCCCTGAACAACAACTTGCATTTATATAGTGCGCCCCCACCCTATCCCTTAGAAGTATTTAATGGACACTTTCTTACCGACGCTTTTGTTTTTCAAGGTTCCGGATTATTTAGAATTTATTACACATCCTATGGACTTTTCCACCATGAGGAAGAAACTAGAAACTCATTGTTACAAATCGCTGGATGAATTTGAAACCGATTTTAACCTAGTTATCAACAACTGCTTGAGATATAATGCAAAAGAGACTATATTCTACCGGGCAGCGGTGCGGTTGAGAGATCAAGGAGGCTCCATACTAAGATGCTCTCGGCGTCAAGGGGAAAACACTGGGTACGACTACGAAACTGGAATGCATCTACCTGAATCGCCAAATTCAGCGGACTTCTACCGCTTCTCCTGGGAGGATGGTAGGCATTGTGACACCGCAGATTGTTTTAGACTGAAATTGCTATTTTCATTTGAGATATTGTTTAAGGCTGCTCATTATTCTAGCAACCTCTCCGCTCTCCGACCAACCTCTCCGCTCAGCAGGCTCCGGCTTGCTTCACGTCCCCCGCCTTGCCGACCCACTATTGGCGGGTGGGCTTTCAGCCACTCTGCCCTCACCGTCTGGAACTCCATCCCACAATCCCTCCGCCTCGCTCCCTCCCTTGCCTACTTCAAGACCTGTCTCAGGACCCTCTTCTTCATCCATGCCTTCGGTCATCCTCCTACCCCTACCCTCCCCTACCCCTACTGATCCCAACCACCAGCTTGGGTGTGGTTCCCTGATTGCCCAGCACCTTGGAATTTCTTCTGACATGAAAGGCGCGATACAAATGTAATTTGTTGTTGTTATTATTGTAGAGTTGAATTTTGACATGCTCCTTTGATAAAAGCTAGACTAAGGAAGGAAGTAAATATTATTTTTCGATTCATTTTATGTTTCTGGTTTGTTTTTAGTGGATAACATCTTGATACCAGAGAACAGAGCTCACATGTCACTGGAAAACCAGCTGAAGGAATTACTAGATAAACTGGACATTACATGTACCATGAAGTCGAGTGGAGCCCGATCAAAGCGAGTCAGATTGCTGAGGCGAGAGATCAACAGCATCAGGCACAAACTGGGACAACAACAGCTACACAACGGCAGCTACTCTGAATTGTTACGGGAAGATAATGAGAAACCACTGGCTGAAGGCAACGAGGATAGTGTTGAAAGAGGTATGATACATTTTGTTGTGCATCTCAATGTATTAAAAAGTAACATTATAGTAGGGCATGAGTTGGTAAATACTTTAAATACTTTAAAAATACATTTAAATTAACCTCCACTATAATCACTGTCATGTCAACGTGAGTTAGTCTTTTTTTTAACCATATTTCAACACTATGTTGTAAAACTATGTAGTTAAATAGTTTGTCCTCCGGATGAGATGTTACATCAAGGTCATGTTTGCCTGCTCAGATGGATGTTAAAGATCCTATGGTACGATTTGAAAAGAGTTTTTGTGTCCTGGTCAACAATACCCCAGATAAGATTGGTCATTCCCTGATTTAAAATCTTGATACTGCACAAAGGTATTTTGTTTTTTGGCTCCAAAGTTTCATAATATCTCCATAATTGAGATACTAAGGAGTATTTAACATCTAGGTATACAGATTAGGGTATTAAAATGCATTTCTATCCGGGTAAGCTGTGTGCATGAAATCACATTTGGTATAACCTTGCTAAAATGAGGTGATCCAAGCATTTTCATTGATGATACAGTGGAAACTCACTACTATAATCAGCAATGTCCCTCGTGCCCTCTGTTCCACCAAATTTGGCCGCTCTTTCAGCCACTACTCTCCGAAACTCTGGAACACTCTTCCTCTATCCCTCCGCCTTTCCCCTTCCTTCCCCATTTCAGTTCGCGCCTGAAGACCTTCTTATTCGACCGTTCCTACGGTCACCTCCCCCTCCCCCACCCCCTCCGGCTCGGCTTCGTGTTCCGCCACTGAGCTCTGGAACGCTACTCTGCGTGAGAGGCGCTATATTGTTGTTCTAGTAAACAACAGAGGGGTTTTGACCACCTTAGTGGGTTGACGTCTCTAGTGAGTTTGCATTACTCTACTATATATATCGTAATGTTGAAATGAAAACGACAGCAAAAAAGAATCATATTGGGAAGTTGACCGCACCAGTAGAATGACCGTATGCTGCGTTTCCATTTCATGACGGTTATAACCGCTTGAAAAGAAAAGCACTTTACTATTTTAATCTGCCAGTTGCATGGTGATTTTTGTTCATAATGAAAGACGTACAAGACACATCAATATTGCTTTTGTTGTTGCTAAATTGCTTCCTGATTCTAATCCGAATTGTGAGGTGGGCGAGAAACTCAGTTGCAGTAGATTCCGGAAGGTTTGTGAGTTTGCTCATTATTGGATTCTCTGGCTGTTTACATGAAAGTGTTAGATTGTGACTAATCTGCTTGCCGCTGCTCTGTCATCCCATTTCATGCTCTGTTGGTAACATAGATTTTGCAGTTCAGTAGGAAAGACCAGATTATTTCCTAATTTAAATACGATTTCCGAAAATTAAGTTACACTTCCATATTAGGTGGTGATTATATGTAATGGTCAATTAAATAGCAGCGGGGGGGTAAATTAACCACTTTAAAAATGGATGTTCCACACGTGCATAATCACGTTAATCACCGAGGACATTCATTAAGAATATTATGATTCAGAGTAACTCTTCACCTTAATGTGGATCATGATCTTTGCAGTTTTTTTAAACATACTCATGAAAATTGGTCACTCAATCTATGACTGTTTGTGGAACACTGCTGTGTGCAATTGGCTGCTGCGTTTCGCCCACAAAATATATAGTCAATTTACTTCACGGTATATTCTGTGAAGCGCTTTGTGGGATCTCAAAGGCGTGATAAGGTGCTATAGCAAATGCAAGGATTATTATTATAAGAGTTTTTGGACCATAGTACAACACAGATTACATGTTTCTTACAGAATTATATGCAGAATCAAGGAATAGGAGAGAATGGGAGGGAGTAAGGAATGGGTGGAGATTCGTGTGGAAACAATTCTAGCGTAGACTAATTAGGCCAAATGGCCTGTTTCCGTGCTGGGAATCTATGTAGAAACATATCTTGAGTTTGCACTATTCTGTGCATTTTCCTAGCTATCCCAAGTTTGAGGTCCTGTAAGGACCATTGGTGTTTCTAAGTAAGTTGTGGGGACTGGAACACTGCTTATTTCTCCCAGTGCCTTCGCCTTGCTTCCTCCCTCTCCTCCTTCAAGGCCGGTCTCAAAACCTTTCTCTTTGACCGAGCCTTCAGCTCCCCTCTCGACTCTCTTCCCCCTTCTCGCTCCCTCCCTTCCCTCCCCTCACCCTGACCATTTCCCCCCTCCTCGCTCCCTCCCCTCCCCTGACCATTTCCCCCCTGCTCGGGTCATGACCCAACTGTGCAGCGCCTTGGGACGCCCTCCTGACGTGAAAGGCGCTTTATAAATGGAATCTTGTTGTTGTTGTTGTTGTGTTTCGGTGGCTGACCTCTCTGACTGTTAGCTGATCTGAGTTTCTCTTTGGCACCTGGTTTAGGGTTGTAGAGTTTTATTAATAACTGGAAATCGAGTAATGTTTGCTCTTTAATTTAAATTTGATAAAATATGTGCATGTGAGTTTCACCTAATCCAATCTATTATGATTTAGAAGGATTTTAGCACCCTGATAAATATGAGTATGACATTGTACTGATTTTTCAAAGTGGTTTGATTTGAAATTCACTCTGTTAACATTTTTGGCATGTACGTTTGATTAAAGTGGAATGTGAATGTAAATTTTAAACTTTTTTTTTCCTCCACAGAGGATTCAAAGTCTTCCCTGCCACCTACACTGGAGCCAACAGGACCTGCCCCATCACCGTCAGGTTCTGAAACCCACACAGATCCTCCTACCCTCAAACCTGTGAGTGAGGGCAGGGCACACAGCAGACCGCACAAACGGATTAAGTCTGACAGTGAAGTCCTGAACAAAAAAACACTACAAAAAGATGGCCTTGGCGCACAGACACTCCAGCATCTCCTCAGTGATAGCGCTGTCAATGGCCTCGCTCTCCCTACCTCAGACACAGCAACGCAGTCAGTCAGTGAAGTGGGCAGGCGGACCTCTGTCCTCTTCAGGAAGGCCAAGAACGGAGTCAAGTTACAGAAGGGATCTGGTCAGCCTGTGGAGAATGGAGATAGCCAGCACCAAACAGAACAGTTGGCATTGAACACTTCTCCGCCAGGGACTCTTTCGAAACTACAGAGTTTACGTCAATCGAGGAAGAGGCCGCAGAGCCTAAGCTGTAGCTCAGATAGTGAAAGTGAGAAGTCTCCATGCACGCCTACAGAATTAGGTAATAGTTCTACCTTGTTTTTCTCCCCACAGTTCTGTTCTGCAACAATTGATCCTCCAAGGATGGCTAAATAGTACAAATCATGAACTTCTTTCTGTACAGTCACTGTCAGTGGTGTTTTATTATCTAGCCATAGTAGAGCAAAGCAGTCTGTTGGCTTTTAAAGAAATCTATATATCTGTATTTCATTGAAGGAATCAATTATTTTGTTAAAATGTTATATCTTTGCTGTACAGGGCTTTCAAACGGCTTTGGCAAACACGCCCCATTGTCAAACGTAGAGAGCTGTTCAGACTCCGAGTGCAGCTCCAGTCTCGGAAGCCATGGGGCATTCGACAATAACAGGTAAATAACAAGGCACAAATAACAGCCTATTTCATCATGAAGCTTCATTAAATGCATGTTATTTCTCGGGAACTGTGAGGATCAATAGATTGTCTGTTCACCTCTGGATTTCTGTGTGTAGCATACATACGTGGATCCCAGCCTAATGTGGATTCTCTTAAGCATGGTGATGGATTTCTGCTTGTGTCACACACTCGGCTGACTTAAAAAAAAAACTGTGGGATTTGGGTTGAATTTGAGCTGAACAGTTACATTTTTTATTACTTTCTCTCTTGGCTATTAGGATCCTAAGTGAAATATAGGGAACCTTAATGTGATAGTTGGGAGATCTCCTGCATAAAATGTTGCCACTAAATTACCTGAGAGGTTCTATACCTATTAAGAGTACGAGAATATGTTAAGCAGGCTATAAAAATTGTTTCTCACTTCTCTCACGTTTATGACTACACCAAATCCCCGAAGAATAATTAGGTATTAAATTCATGGTGCGATTCTGTGCCATTGTGGAGTCCTGTAGCTCAGTGGTTAGAGCGCTCGCCTTGCAAGCGAGAGGAGCTGAGTTCAATTCCCAGCAGGGCGAAAAGTTGGACAAGTTTCCTTACTCCACATGCCTCTGTTTATCTAGCATTAAGAACCTGGTTATAATAATAATTATAAAAATAAAATAAAATAAAAAAAAATTGGTCACTTAATCTACGAATGTTTGTGGGACAGTGCTTTGTACAATTGGCTGCTGTGTTTCACCCACAAAACACTTTACAGTGTATCCTGTGAAGCGCTTTTGAGATGTTTCGAAGACGTGATAAGGCGCAATATCAACTGCAAGGATTGTTATTATTATCATAACCTGATTGCAGCTTGAAATCCTTGATTGAGTTGACCTAGGCATCAAGTGTGTGATTTGTAATATGAATTACAACCAATTTTAAAATGCTTGTAAATTGATTTAGTTCCATACAGCAACTTATTACTAATAAACTTGTCCTATTCAGTCCTTCTGGCAACTCTCTGACTTAGTGGGATAAATACAGTACAGGGCAACTCTCTGACTTAGTATTGAACAGAAATGGCTGAGGCTGAGGTTCGGTTTTATTTCTGTACATCAGGCAACAGTAAATTCAAAGGTGGATTCATAGATGTATTCTCAGATATCTGGAAACACGATTTTATTATTTCCGCAGTCTGGGACCATGAGTTTATCAGAATATTTATCAGAATATTTTCCATGCTGGCCCACAGGCACTAAATTCAATCTACCACCATTTGATGAATATTGTACTTTCATCACCTGGTCAGTGGACGTTGTATGACTAGCAAATTGATTTAATATTAGTGGATTGAGTAATATTAATTACTCATAAGCAAACAGGTGTAAATTCTAAAATAAGGTTGTTGTTTTCTTGCCTCTACAAATGTGATAGTTATTTTCTATTCTGTGCTGAATTTAATTTAATCTTGTATTTCCTCATCCAAGTGGCTTGTCTCCCCCCAAACGTAGTCGAGGAAAGCCAGCTCTTGCTCGTCCACACTTGCTCGACAATGGGGACGGATTGTGTGGAGATTATAGTACTTCAGGTATGTTGTGTATAACTTCAGAACTTTGATTCCCAGCCTAATCAACAGCAGGGATAGATTCAGCAGTGAGGAGTGCATGCATGTACAACTGCTGATCATAATTGAGTTTAATGTCTCACCCTAATTGTGTTGACTTGTATCGGAGCCCATCAACACATCATAGCATAACATTTGGCAGGACTTTTTACACACCAAACAAATCTGTTTATTTCCTCAGTTAAATTTGGCGAAGTGTATGTAATGCTATTTTAAAATATGACCTTGAAACATACACTTCATACCATATTATTGTTGTAAAAGCAATAATTGCCTGTTTTTAAAGCAATTTAAATTGATGATTTTAATGAATAATTCAATTCACGACTGTTTGTGGGACCATGCTGTGCGCAATTGGTTGCCATGTTTCGCCAATAAAATACACAGTCAATCCACTTTGGAATATGTTCTGTGAAGAGCTTTGAGACGTCTCAGGATGGGATAATAATCCCTCCAAAACCAAAAACAATAATAAATTGGTCATTTCAATCTACGACTGTTTGTGGGACATTGCTGTGCGCAATTGGCTGCCGCGTTCGCCCACAAATATACAGTCAATTCACTTTACAGTGTGTTCTGTGAAGCGCTTTGGGACGTCTTCCCGACGTGAAAAGCGCTATATCAAATGCAAGGATTATTATAAGGCGCTGTATCGAATGCTATTATTATCATTAAAATCACAAATAAATATTTTGCATTTATTTACGTAGGACGAGGAGTTTGGACACCCTTTGAGAATGATGCTATCTTGGAGCCATTGGAATTAGTGTGGGCCAAATGTAGAGGGTACCCTTCCTATCCAGCACTGGTAAGCTTAATTATAATTAATTATAATTAATTAACTACTTCCCAACTATAAGCTTTTGAAAGTGGAGCACAGCATGTTTGCCTTCCTCAAAACAACGGTTGCCTAAATCAAAATCATTGTTGGGTCCAGTAATAATTTGGTCCTTGCACAGTATTGAAATTCATCCGTAACGTCAGAACCGTTGAAACCCGAGGACCCTTAACAATTCACGTTTTATGTCATTGGTTTGTTCTGACATTTTTGGAGCATTTTAAATTTTTTCATGACACACAGCGCTAATTATTCAGATTTTATGTAGCTCATTTTGGAAAGTGAAACATAAGGCACAATTTTATTTTGTTGAGTTTATCACCTAAACAATACAGTCATTTTCCATTTAGTCTTATAACTTTTGCTTGCTGTAATTAAAAGATGTCATTGATGTGGATGAATGAAAATGATTTTGAAGCAGATTTCTATACTGTTTAGTTTTGCATTGCTAATCATCCGGATCAACTTGGTGCATTTGCTTTCCCATATCTCAGTTTTGTATATAATTGTGTGTTCAACTGAATGTTATTTTCTTTCTAATTTATCTTCTGCAATATTCTTATTTTATAGATCATCGATCCCCACATGCCTCGGGATGGCCTGTATCACAATGGGGTCCCTATACCTGTACCTCCAATGGATGTAATAAAACTAGGGGAACAGATGCAGGCGGAAGCTGGAGAGAAGCTTTATCTCGTTTTGTTTTTTGATAACAAAAGAACCTGGTAAGTGGGGGTGGGGGGCAGAAGCCCGATCCTGAAGTAAACAATTTTGTATCTGTGGACGCTCACCTTCCTTTACCTCTGCTTCTGTTCTTACGAGCTCAGCTCTGTGCAAAATGAAGAGTCGCCATTTAGTGTATGTGACCTATAGCATTTGAAAATGCAAGTTGTAAGTTAAGTGTAGTGACTGTATTCGTAGGCGAATGTGGCAGTCAATTTGCGGACAGCAAAAGGTCAGGAAGTGAGCAATCAATTTATGTGGAGGATTGTTGGCGCAGGAAACCAGGAGAAACTCCCCTTTTTTTGATTAGTGCCTTGGAATCTTTCTTCATCTTCTGATGAAGATTTGTTGGCCCACATTTATGCACATAAAATAGTCTTTACAATATATCCTATGAAGCGCTTTGAGACGTCTTGAAGACATGATGAAGCGCTGTATCGAATGCAAGGATTATTATTATTATTATTATAATAACAAAATTGCAAGCCCAACTGCATCACTCACCAGCATTACAGAAGTGAAATAATTAAATCTGGTCCAGTAAATGTCTGTAACCTCTGAATGTGTTCCATCAACAGGCAGTGGCTTCCCCGCACAAAATTACTTCCTCTCGGTATCGATGACACGGTGGACAAATTGAAAATGATGGAAGGGCGTAAATCGAGCATCCGAAAATCTGTTCAAATTGCTTACGACCGTGCGATGATCCACCTGAGCAGAGTACGTGGAGAACACGGTTTTCTCACCTCAAACTACATGTGACTGTTTTTTTTAAAAGAAACCAAAGTTGCGGAAGGAGATTGTACAACGTGACATCAGGCGTCAGACGAAGATCCTTAATTTCTCCTCATTGTGTAAAAAAAACTAAATTACTTTTCTTTTTTTGTTTTTCATACTTTGGAGCAGATCGCCGAAAAGCCTCTGTCACTGCCAATTCTGAAATGGCCTTTCTTTGACTCGTTCTTTTTACGTTTATTCATTTAAACCTAGATCATGCTTTAGATCTCCCCAGTACAAATCCTGTTCATAGTGTTTATAATGCCTTTTGTGCGGAAGTCAAGGGGGAAAAAAAAATACGTGTACATAACTGTATTATATTGTTAAACACTAAATTATTTAAGGCTGCAGATCTCAAAATCTTTAGCTTCTCTGTGATGGTAATGGGTTTTGTACGCACACACTGTAATTTATTTGAGAAACAATACCATTTGACGTTTGAAAGTACTTGTTATGACAAAATGCAGTGGACTTGTGAGCTGTGTATACTGTGTAGTACAAGTTTAAAACATTTTTATTATTACATTTTATGATTTAGTTTTTAATGTATTCAGGCTGTTATATCAATGATGTTGACATACCTAGGGACCTAACAATTAGCTGTGTGTCCACTGTGAAACACAAGATGTTCATGTTGTATTTATTGTAGAAAGTAAGATTATTTGCTTTCTAGAACCGTTTATAAGAAGCTGTAATGGTCGAGAGAAGGAATTATGAGAATTGACACTTGCAAACTGTACTTTTACCTCTGATCTATTACAGTCCAACTATCTGAGGGTATATTTTCTCCTGAGAATTAAATGTGATGAACTAGAAGCTATAGTTTCTGATTTCTAGTGGCTAAGCTCCTTTTGTCAGCTTTCAAACTAGGCCAGTTTCATTAATTGTTAGGATTTTCAATTTGCCGTTCCTGCCCAAGTGGGAGCTGTTCTTGTCAGTCTCATGTCAATCAAATCATCACAAAGGAGCACTTGTGGTAGAGGGTCACAATGATAACACCAACATCCCTCTTGTGAGTTTAAAAAAAAGCTGCTGAACTGATTTCTTTTGGAAAAAAATGCCTGCAATATAATGTTTAATTCTTGATTTAACAATGATAATAATAACACTAATCTCTGCATTTGATATAGCGCCTTTACACGTCTTCAAGGCGTTTCACAGAATATATTGTAAAGTGGATTGACTGTATTTTGTGGGCAAAATGCAAAATGTGGGCAAACAAATCTTCATCAGAAGATGAAAAAAGTAAATTGACATCATATGCCTCCACTCGGCCAGTATCTTTGCTCCTGAATACTCAGTTACCGAGTCAATAACTTAAAACCTCCGTACCAGATTGTGTTGTCTCATCAAAATAGGTTTCTTTCAGAAAGAGACATTTGGAACATCCTGTTCCCTCAGCCCAAAGAGAACATTTGTCATATCAGTTTCAAAACTTCTTGCAATGAAATTACAAATGGAGCTTCTCGAAACATTAAAATATATTTGTACTGTGCCCAAACTGACCAAATGTATGGTGCTAGAGTACAATGCACAGTTGAAAACTAGGCACAAACATTGAAATATCACAGATGTAATTTAAGACAAAGATTATTTGGGTTTGCATCATATATTTGGTAATTGAATACTTACCTTATAATGATAATGCACATCCAAATATTCGCACGTTTTTCAATGAGATTCACAATCTTTATTTTTGTGAGTATTTTTCTAGAGAGGGGAGTTTTTTTCCTGGTCTTCTGGCCTACAATCCCCCAGAAAGAAAATTGCTGGTAATGCTTCCTCCCCCGCGTCCCCAAACAATCACTTGTTATAAACAAAAACCTGTTATAATTGTTCAGTTGGATTGTGATTGAAAATGGGGGAAATTTACTCTCAGAAAGTTGTGTTGGTGTAGGAATTGTACTGGGGCTCACATCTGACCTAGAGGAGTTACAATCCGCATGAAAGAGCCACAGTAAAGTGTGCAGCTAAACGATCGCAGAATGACAAACACCACTCCCCACTGTGTTCCTTCGAGTTTTCTGAAGTATGGTTACTAGGGAACATTCAGCTGAAATCCAGCGAGAGCCTTTGCCTCGAGCAGTGTAGCAGCAGTGATCTGTAGTGCAACTGATAAGATGCCAGATTAGACCTCATGAATATTTGTGCCACTTTTTATACGGTAATTTTAGTGTTGGTGCTGTATGGACAGTAACCTGATATTAAAATTGCAGTGTGCCTTCTCCATGGCCTGATTGGGTAAAGTTTGCACCACCTGTCAAACACAATACTCAAGACTGAGAGGGATAGCTATTTGTTAGGTCAGGGTGTTAAGGGATAATGGGGTAAGGGCGGGTAATTGGATTTGAGGTACAGATCAGCCATGATCTTATAGAATGGCTGAACAGGCTCGAGATACTGAATGGCTGTTTCTGTGTTTCTAAAACCACATAACAACAATTTGCATTTATGTAGGGCCTTTACCTGGGGTAGCATCTTGGTGTTTGAACAGTGCTCCGTAGCTTGACGCCGAGCTAGAGCGAGTAGGGCATTGAGATTGAAAAGGAAGGTCTTCAGGTCTGATCTGGTGACCCACAAGGAAGAGGCAAAGCGGAAGGACTGAGGCAGAGCGTTCCATAGTTTTTGGTGCTGAAGCTACAGCTCAGAAGGTTGAACGTTTGATTCTTGGTCCGTGCTGAGTTGGCAGCAATTGGAAAGACTTAAAGATAGTCCCTTAAAAGTTACTGGATGATTCAAGTGACCAGCTCGTTAATGACATTTAAAGCTAAGCAGTTCACCACTGCAAATGAGCTCAGTTGCACATGTAGAGAATGTTTCAACCCACACACCCTCTCCATTGTAATTTCCAGCATGATGCTCCATCCAACATGAAACCAGCAGAAAGGTATGCTTTAACTTAAAAGATTATATTGTGACTCGCATTGGGATGACTGCAAATAACCGACGCGCCTGAACTCGCCATTCTTTTCCTTGGTTAAAGAAAATCATCAGTGGAGACGAGTAGGTATGCTCTGTGCTCGTTTTCATTTGAGGAATGATTCATTGCACCCGGTCGACTAGGTTTCTATGGAAAAGCAATATTGCTCTCTACCAGTAGATGGCTGCATTGTTCTGCTGTTGTGCCAAGACGGGAATGAGAGTTCCGAATAAAAATTCCTAAGAACTTGTGCTCCATCCTTAAGATATCCCTTTGATGTTACTTAATATACACGTGGAAAAGCACTATTTTCCTTGGTGTACTTCAGTGTGATGGAGAACTGCTTTCATACAGATTCTGTGTTTTGCCAAGGAGCAGTGTTGGGAAGCAATCAGTGACACATTAATAAGGCTTATACAATCATCTCACACTGTAAAGTTTGCCAGATATCAACACGCCAACAATGTGTCACCTTAAGGCAGCAATGATTAAACATAGTCCCTACTATAGCTAAGCAGTCGGTTAAGGTAATTGGATTATTTTTTAGTAAATGACACCCTCGGAAACCCATCACAATGCTTAAGTGTATAAAAATGTCAAAGCATTGAGAGCTCTGCATGTCTATAGGTTCAATTTGTCTGGCACGAAGTTTGTAACTCTCTCTCTCCCTAGAAGAATGTGCCCTGTTTACCTAATCCCAGAGAATTTAGATGTAGGTTGTCAAGAGCCAAGTCTTGGGTGACCCCAGGATATAGAATACACTTGGATATTGCTGGAATTTAATCAGAGTAGCAAAGCACTGGTAAGCTTCCTGTTGCTTGTCTTGTTAGGACCACCTCAGCTGTTGGGACTTTGGCTTGCAGTTATCAGGAACCAATTGGGAAGAATCCATGGCCCCAGCGATTGAATGGTCTGGGCCTCAAAGTCCCAACAATAAACCAGGCCAGCTGGTTCATTGTCAACAGTGCCCTCGAAAAACTGGATCTGTCTAGCTCATGTAACAGAAAGCTGAGATTGACGCAGAAAAGTAATTAAATTTTATCCGCCATTGCTTTCTAGCAATTTAGAGCCAACTAAGTCCCCAAGCTTGCCTTGCGCGATTACGACTCACCAATTAAACCTGAATTGACACAGGAGCTTGAGTTTGAAAGCCTTCAGAGCCTGTATGCAGCGCGTGAGTGAACAATGCCGTACAAATGTATGTTGTTGTTGTTATTCTTAGTGTTTGCAAATCTCCTGAAATGCATTGTATCAACAGCCTGTTGTGAACGCCGGTGAACCTGAGCAGTTTAGGTAACAGATAAAACGTAACAGATTTGCAGTAATCCCGTCTGAAACCACATTCATCTTATTATCACCAATAGTAGTGTAGACCTGCTGCAAAATAATCCTCTTTCCCAACATCTCTTGACAATATCTGCTCACCTATAACAGAGGGAATGCCTGATGTGCTGTGTGTGTGTGTGTGCATGGGGGATGATCTCAGCTAACTTTCTACGTTGCAAGAAAATGGATTAACGTTTAACTGTGGTCTTAATTCCTAGATGCAAGGATTAAGATGGACATGTCACTTTAGGAATTATTACCAAGGAAGCAAAAGGGAAAATGATTTGAGGGCATGTGTGAATATACTACGCTGAGTGTCAGTTGGGCTCAGTGGATAGCACTCGCGCCTATGAGACCACCATCGGTGGTCGGGCCTTCAGCCTCTCAGCCTCCACCCTTTGGAACTCCGTCCCACATTCCCTTCGCCTGGCTCCCTCCCTTGCTCTAAGGCACATCTCAAGACCCTCCTCTTCGACCACACCTTTGGGGACTCTCCTACCTCTACCCTCCCCACCCTCTACCCTCCCTGAGCCCAACCTTCTGCTCGGATCCAAATCCCTGACTGTCCAGGGTCTCGGGATGTCCTCCCGATGTGAAAGGCACCAGCGATACGAAATGTCAAAAGGTTTACTAATATTACGCCAGGAGTGAGTGTGCCTGTCATTTTGGTGACGGAGGCATCGGGATGTTTACTGTTTCTCTTCAATGCTATTTGAAGTAACTCTTTAATAAGTCGTACATCTCTACACTGCCCTTGGTCTCCTGATGAGCAGGGTGGTGGCTTTCACGGCTTTACGTTGAGGGAAATCAAGCAAGGTAACAGAGAGGTCGGTCTTTTGCCTTTCTTACCAGTGCAAACGTATGCTGTTAACGTATCCTTAAGCTTTTGGAAGGAGTCAGGATTTCAAGCCTTGCTGTGTCAAGTATGAGAAAAACTCTCACTACAAAGTTATTGAAACTACACACAGTTGTAGGTCATTTTTGTACAGCTCTGCTATCGACTGAAGCAGCCAGCCGCATTCGTGAATTTAATGGAATTTAATCCTTTGAGATAGAGGCCAGAGCACTATGTAATGTTTCTGCCTTGTTATTTTTGACATGGAAACTGCTGAATTTGAACCCAGTTGTCAGGCTCTGAATCCGACTGTGTCTTTATCAGGGTTTTTAGTGAACGGTCGCCCGCTGCATTATGGTAAACAGGATTGCTGGAATGCGTTAGTTTGTGTTCAATAATTGAAGGTGCTGTGTTGAATCTGATCCTCTTAATTACTGACACGCGAGGTGAGTTGTGGCGGCAGAGATATAGCAATTTGCTGGAAGCGGTGTGCGATGGCATACCAAGAAAAGCCTCATTATTGTCTTCCCTTGGGATTAGCGGCAAAGGATTTAGAAGGATGTGATGTGAAAGAATCCAATGAAGAATATTGGAACTGTGATTCTTCAATTTTGTTAAGAAAAAGACTATTCTTACCCTCAAAACCCATACCAGTTCAATAATTATCACTTAGTTGAAAAGATCTCCAAATCATGGTATTTAAATATAACTAGTCATATAGATTCCTTTACTTAT